AGGGAAGAGAAAGCTGTTTGAAATACACTCAAATGTATCTGTGTCCATATTTATGGATGTCTAAGTTTATCTATGAGGCATCTTTGCATGAATGGATTGGTGTATGTTCATTCGTTGGCTTAGTGGATTTTTTCCTACTGTCCTACCTACAATTGCCTATGTCAGCATGTCTCGGGTTGTAGAGTCCTAGGGTTTGGGAGTCGGATCTATGAAGGGGTGGAATGAATGAGCAGCCTTGAGAGGGTGTGACCCAATCCCCCCACCCCAGCACCAGAGGCATTGAAGTGGAGGCAGGAAAAAAACCATTTCAACGCCCCCTAGGATTGTTTAGGGGGTTGCAACATCATATGAGAAATGGAACTAGATGGCCATTGAGAGCCCTTTAATTCCAATGAATCTGAACCTAGACCCCTTGGCATAGTAACCCAGACATGATTAAGTGGTGTTTGAAAGTGTGCTGTTTGTGGGCCAACAGGGCATCAGTGCTTACAAGAATGGCCTCTGGTCAGATGGACCTAGATTTGAAGCACTGCAGCATAGCTTAATAACTGTGTGCTTCTGGGTACATCTCCTAACCTTGTATGCCTCAGTTTCCTCATCTGTATAATGAAGACAACAGTAGTACCTAGTAAGGTTGTAGTGAGCATAGATGGGGTAACCCATATTAAATGCAATGAGATACCACACACACTTCATGTGTGACACATGGTAGGTGCTCAGTCAGTGTTGGTGGTGGTTGTTAAGGTCATCCTTCTTGCCAATGAGAGCAAATGTTTGAAACATTTGAGTCCTCAGATGATCCATTTGGCTCTATGGGGTCATTCTCAACTGTCTTCCCCAGCTCCCACCCTTGTTCCTGACTTAAACTTCCCCTGATGGAGGGAAGAGCTCCTGCCCTCAAAACTCCATGCCATGGTCAGTTCAGCTGGACATCAGGGGAGCCTGGCAAGGCTGCACCCCCACTCTGCAGCTTGGCTTCAGCCAGGGTCCACCCTGCTGGGCACTTGCAAGGGCAGACCATCCAATTCCAAACTCTGGGCATCATTTTTTTTTTTTTTTTTTTTTTTGAGACAGAGTCTCACTTTGTTGCCCAGGCTAGAGTGAGTGCCATGGTGTCAGCCTGGCTCACAGCAACCTCAATCTCCTGGGGCTCAGCTGATCCTACTGCTCAGCCTCCGAGTAGCTGGGACTACAGGCATGTGCCACCATGCCCGACTAATTTTTTGTATATATATTTTTAGTTGGTCAATTAATTTATTTCTATTTTGGTAGAGACGGGGTCTCGCTCAGGCTGGTTTCGAATCCTGACTTGGAGCAATCGCCCGCCTCGGCCTCCCAAAGTGCTAGGATTACAGGCGTGAGCCACCACGCCCAGCCTCTGGGCATCATTACTTCCTAGCTCAGCCAGTGACATCCCCCTGACTTGTTCTGAGGTGCTGATCCAGGGAGGATGGGACTTCTGGCTGGCGGTGGCTCAGCCGCCTACTTATAAGTTGTGCAAATGAAGCTTATGCAAATAAAGTAACCGTTTCTGCCCTTACTCCCTTTAACCAGCTTCCTTCCGGGAGAGCAGGGCCAGGCTCAGTCCTCATCTGCGCTTCAGGCTTGAGTCCCTTGCAAGGGTGGCCGGTCCTTCACCCACGAGGCCTCACATTTGGTCTCATTTCCACACAGCAAATGGTTGAGGGAGTCTCCTTAACCCAACGGTAACTACTCAACCTGGCGCGCAGGCAGGAAACCTCAAGATTAAAGTCTGAGAACTGGGGAGGACTGTCAGATCCGACCCCTTCACTTCACAGACAAGAAAGCTGAAGACCAGAGAGAGGAAGAAGCTTTTTAAAGTACCGTGGATGAAGAAGACATGCTCCCATGCTCCACTTGCCCACCTCCAGATAAAATCACTTACAGAGTGGTCTCCATTGTCCATCAATTTTGCCTTTTTTATGATAGTTTTTGGAAAAAAATTTTTTTGAGAGGGCTGGAGAATCCCCAGGCAGTGCTCTTTCTGGAAAGGGTATTTTGCTTAGCAGGTTTTACCTGTATTGTGAGGGGAAAACTTGAAAGCCACAGGGAGCTAGCTGCTCCTCTTCTGTAGGACTTGGAAACAGAGAAGCTCTGAGAAGCCGCCTCTCTCACTGGGGACGTGTCCCTGAGGGAAGGGCACAAGTGGGGGTGAAAAGGATGGGACCCTGGGCTCCCAGGAGAGGAAGGATCATCCCTTGGCTGCTTTTAAGAGGCCTCTTGCCCTTCCCCTGCCTCATAAACTAAAACCTGGGGGAACCTGAAACATGCAAACCCGAGATGCTGCCTCAATAAGAGTAGTTTTCGTAATAGTTCGGGATGATTTAGCTGTGCTGGGCTTGATGGTGACAAGAACAGCCCTCGTTTCTGACTCATACCTCCTATGTCTCCCTGTCCAATGACCTCAGCCCTTGCTTGGGCACTAACTCTTTGTCAGACTTGGCATGATCACCTTACTATGTGCCAGTGTCATGCTAAGGACCAAGAATTCAAAGATGAAGCCAATCTGTGGCCCCTTGGAAGGTCAGGTCTGAGATTGTAAGTAGGTGGGCGTTTGGTAGGGATCACCCAAAGATAAGCACACGGGTGCCTCCAGTTTGGACAAAGAACCTCCCAAACTAGGCCCATCTTTCTGTGCCTGCTTGCTTGAATGACCTATTTTCTAGCTACGAACAGGTAGCATTACCTGTTCCAAACATCTGGCATTACCTCCCTGCTTAGTCAGCTTCCTTCTGGCTTCAAACAGCTGTAGAGCCCCACCTCCCCTCCGCCTCCTATCCACCTGGGGTCCCTCCCTAACCTTGTTCTTCCTGGGAGGATCTGGAGATACCAGATCCACAAGTCCTGGTGTCTTTAAAAGGATCTACCTGTGGAATAAGGCTCATTTGAGAGCTGTGACATTTACCTTGACTCCAGTGAAAGTCCAACAGCCACTCCCCTTTTGGCCTTCAACGGGGCACCATGAGGGCCTGTGTCCCCCTGATAGTGGCCGTGCTCTGTGGCCTGGCCTGTGCTGGTAAGTCACTATCTGGTGGGCATGGGGTGGGGTGGGCAGAGGTCTTTCCTAAACAAGCAGAGAGTTGGGGAGGTTGGTAGAGGGTAGGGCAGCGGGGCAGGGAGAGTGAGGTCTCTCCTAAAGCTGTGGAGTGCTCTTGGCCTGCCCCTGTCCCAGGGTGCAGGACTCATCTCAGGAGAGGGCTGGACGGTGTGGAGGGAGTTGCAGGGCTCAAGGACTGATTTCATGGAAGTCCCTTCTTAACACCTCGGAGGATCAGCCTAAATGTCCCTTAGTCCAGCCTGATTTTTGATCTCACCAAGGTTTCATTATCTGGGGCCACCATATGATCTAAATCTGGGGCAGGGGCCTGCTGGGGTGAGTGGCCTGGCTGCCCTTGGTCACTCCCTCCATGGCCTGCTGACAGGTGAGGTTGTCTGGGTGTGACCTTTCTTAGGAGATGGGCAGGCTCAGGTGGAAACCGGAAGGGCCCCTGTCCAGGAGGTGAGCCATGTCCGATTTGGGGTTGTGCAAATGACCAGAGGAATGGGTCTTTGTCTCAGGGTCAGGGGAACTAAGAAGAAGAGAAGAGACCTGGCCTACAGGTGTGAGGGTGCAGGGGCTGCACGGAACTGGCAGAAGAACAGGAGCACTTTCCTATTTAGTGATTGTACAAAATATGGATGCTGATGTGTTAATCGCTGGCCAGTGGGTGGGCAGGAATGAGCACCAAGGAAGGGGGCTGAGCTGAGGAGTGTGGAGAGGGTCCTCCTCTGCCCACAGGGGAGAGAATCAGAGCTGGATGTCCATCCCACCTACCTGGTTGTTCCTGTACAAGACTGTTGTAAGGATTAAATAAGGTCATGTGTGAGAAGCACCCAGCGTCGTGGAATGAGATCTCAGCGAACTGGAACTTCAGTTATGATTGTGATTGCAAATATTCCTGGGAGAAACTTACTCTTGGGCTTATTTCCAATCAGGCGGTAGATAAGGAGACTCTTAATGGGATTCCTGCGTGGAAAAGCCTTGGAGGAAAATGCTGTTCCCAGGCCTCCCAACACTGGATGGGACTGTGCACGTCTACCCAAGAATTAGCTCTGCCTGGGCCCCAGGTGCTGGAGAGGCAGTGGAGAGAGTGAGGGAGGGTGGGGAGCCTCTAGCTTCAGACCTGTTGGTGTGGAAGCAGGGGGAACACGTGAGGGCCTAGCGTGGGGTTTGGGATACCCCAGCCTCAGGAGAGGAGAGCACTACCAGATATTTGGTCCCTGGGGGGACTTCCCTGAGGGCAGAGGCAACAGTGGCTTCAGAAGTGTAGGTGGATGACCAGGTGCAGTGGCTCATGCCTGTAATCCTGGCACCGTGGGAAGCTGAGGTAAGAGGATTGCTTGAGGCCAGGAATTGAACATCAGCTTGGGCAATATAGTAAGATACCATCTCTACAAAAAATTTTTTAAAAATTATCTGGGCATGGTGGTGTGTGCCTATAGTCCTAGCAACTTGGAAGGCTGAGGCAGGAAGATCACTGCATAGCTTGAGTCCGGGAGTTGGAGGCTGCAGTGAGCTATAATCGCACCACTGCACTCCAGCCTGGGCGACAGAGCGGAGACCCTGTCTCTAAAAAACCAAAGGAACAAACAAAACAGAAGTGCAAGTGGAGCCCTTGCTGCTGGGGCCTGAGAGCACAGATCTGATCCAGCTGTGGGTTGGACGGGAAGTGAGGGTCGAGTGGGTTAGGAGGGAAGAGGCTCTGCTCTTGTCAGTATTCTCCCAATGCTTCAGAACTTAGATGCAAGAATATGAATCACATGGGGGAAACCACTCTGTAAGTGATTTTATCTGGAGGTGGGCAAGTGGAGCATGGGAGCATGTCTTCTTCATCCACGGTACTTTAACAGAAGCTTCTTCCTCTCTCTGGTCTTCAGCTTTCTTGTCTGTGAAGTGAAGGGGTCGGATCTGACAGTCCTCCCCAGTTCTCAGTCTCATGTCCTCTTTTATGAGCTGGGTACGTGCCGAGGACCTTTTTTGTTTCTTGGTTGTGAATGGGGTGAGGAAGCTGGTCCTGGAACTGAAGCTTCCTGGATGTCTAGGTCTCCATGGAAACAGCATCTGGGGCCCCCTGAGAGGCGCAGGCGTAGGATGCTCCAGCCATCAGAGGGGCTGAGGGCTGGCGTATTGGGACACTGTGTCCACTCAGGCTTGGAACCAAGCTCTCTTGGAGTACGGATGGGGACTAATGTTCTGGCAAATTGAAGTCTTACAATGTACAGAGAAATTTAGCATTTCATGGTGGCAGAGAGGACCTCAGCTTTTCATGGGGAAGGGAGGAGGCATCTGAACCTGACAGAGGAAAGGCCCAGATGAAGAAAGGCAGAGAGTCAGAGAGGTGAGGCAGAGGGATGGGGCCACAGGTGGCTGAAGCAGTGATTCAGGCACCTGGCTTGGGGCTCGAGGCTTACACAGAGAGTCTGTGTCAGCTGGAGGCGTTGGGGGGGGGGCGCTGGAGTGAGTAGTCAGGGTGACTAGTCAGTCATCTGAGTGTCCCCAGAACAGCACAGCAAGGTGCCTATGGGGAAAAGTCCCTCCCACCCCTGTCCCCCACCCTGAAATCCCAAGGTCACCTTGACACAGACCAAGTTTGCAGAGAAATGTGAGAAACCCATGGCACAGGACTCTTGCTGGAGACAAAGTTCTTGAGCAGAGATGAAAAAGTCCACTGAGCTTGGGTGGGCGGGGGTGCTCTCCTGAGCTGTCCAGCTGACTATTCAGCTCTTCTCAGCCGGTGCCAGCTGCTGGAATGGAGTGAATTCTTTCCTTGGACTCTGCTGATCTGGCCCATTAAAAACACTGCCCTGATTCGCCTGAATTCTCTCCCTTTGGATTCTGGGTGTACTGCCAGCCGACGGAGCAGGCAGCTGAAGGGGTGAAGATTTTTCCTTAAGATTTTAGCATTCAGATTCCAAGGGAGCATCATTTACGATTCAGGAGGAGTTCCTGTGGGCTTGAAGGAACAATGGCCTTGGGTCTGGTCGTTTTAAGGGAAGATCTACCTTCCTGGCTGCCCTGGGGGCCTTGTGGACAATGTGAAGTTAACCCGGGTTACCCTTGACCTGACCCCTCTCTGATGTAAAGAATGCAGACCCGTATGGATGATGTAAGCTAGGACCATCAGCAACAGAGATTCACTGACAACCCAGCCCAGCTGAATCCCGGGGAGGGTGTCAGCTAAATGAAATATGTCGACAGGGCCACTCCACAGGGAAAACTGCTCCACCCAGTCTGAACACTTGCTACTTTGAAGACCGGCATGAAATACCGCCACTGTTTATTTTCCTAACAAATAGTTAGATGGCGCTACTGTGTGTCATGATGTACTAAGTGCTTTACAAATATTAACTCATTTAATTCTTATTAATATTCTATGAGGTAGGCTCCATTATTATTCCACTTTTACAAACAAGAAAGCAGAGGTACAGGAGGTTAAGTAACTTGCCCAAGATCACATAGTTAGCAGCAGAACCAGAATTCCAACCTCAAGCAGCTTGGCGCCAGACACTAGGTTCTTAACCTCTCTGCTACACCATCTCTCATTAACACAAGATAAACCCTAATCCTGAAATCCAAACCAGTAACTAAATCCATCTCTCTAATATTCACCTCTGGCCCAATCCAGGCTTAAATGGAGATACTATCCCTGTGTCCAATCACAACCAGAACCAAGCTCCAAATATAATCTAAGGCAAAACTGGGATTATTTCTCCTCTTCTAATCCTGACACATTCCTGTACCCTGAATGTCATCTTAAGTTTAACCCTATTCTTTACTCAAATATTAATACAAAATTATTGCTTTATCAATAAATTTAACTCAAGCCCAAATCCTAACTGTGGCTCTTCATCTAATTAACCTCAACCCTGATACAGATTAGGATTCAGTTTCCTCACTGACACAGTCTGACGCTGATGGCAACTCTTGATACTGCTCTCGACACTCTCCCTGACCCGCAGCCTGACTCCTACACCCAGGCTTCACGGAGGCCAAACCTCAGGAACCTCAAATGGAGCAAAGACTCTGTCAGTGCCCTTAAAGCCCAGAGTGCAGAGTGGGTTTGTACCGCTCCTTTCCAAGTGTCTTGTCTTACATCCCTTGAGACCGAAAGCTTGCTTCTGCAAAGCGTTTGGCTGGAGTGGGGGATGCGGCCTGTGGTTACATAACAGAATCCTGTGCCAGAGCCCGGTTCTCACCCACACCCACCCTGCACCACTGAATACATTCCAAAGCCTGGAAGGAGCAGAGATGTGAGGCAGGGAAAGTAGGGTGCGGAGGAGACCAGGTGAAGGGGTGAGAAGAACAAAGAAGCAAAGAACAGAAAAGGGATGGGATGAGAGCAAGGGCAGAGGGCAGAGGGCAGAGGGCATCACTGGGGCGGCAGTGACTTCCGTTCCTCGACACGGCAGGTGAATGGTGGCCTGTGGGCCGCATCTAGTTCACAGACCTATTTCTTCGGATTGAAGTTTTAAAAGCTTGGACATTTTCACATAAAAATGAAACCTTCTTTTGAAAAACTGGAGGCTCTGGCAACACGGAGCCCACATCCCAGCATGGCAACAATTGGCTGGGCTGAGCGGTGGCTACAAACTTCAGATGGGGCATTGCTATTAATATCAAGTTTGTCACAGTCCCCACTTCTTCCTACTGCCTCGCACCCTGGTTCTTTGTTTGTTTACGCTCAGGCCTAACCCGAGTAGGCATTTGAGGGTGTGATCCTCGTCTATATTATGAGCCCTGAAATACCTGGTGGGTGTTGGGGGTGGGGAGGAGGCTCATGCTGTGCCGAGAGCAATGCCCTTCCCTGCCAGGGGTGCTCCTGTCCCTGCTGTGAGCCCTCCTGCAAGAGAGACCTTTAGGAGGAGAATAGAGTTCCCACAGAGCTGAGTTTGTGACCTTTACTGCCCACAGGAAGAATGGAGTCATGCGCATCTCGCTGTAATGAGAAATTTAACCGGGACGCTGCCTGCCAGTGTGACCGGCGGTGTCACCGGCACAGGGACTGCTGTGAAGACTATGAACATCTGTGTGCTGGTGAGGCTCCTGGAGGGATGAAGGGTCTGGGGGGCCTTCAGGCCATGCGCACATCCCGCCTGCCCGCGAGGAGCCACTGGCCTGGGTGTCGGCAGGCCTGGGCAGGGTACAGGACGGATGAGAGAGGCCCTAAGGGCCTGGAACGAGAGCACTGAGGGACAGAGACAGGGGTCAGGGGATTGACCATCACTCATCTCAGGTTTTCTAGGATGTCCCCAACTTAAAATATAGTAGATGTCATTTATCTGGAGTATCTGTCTGAACTATCAGGATTAACAGTATCTTGAAAGTTTAAGAACCTAATTCCAAAAAAGGAGCAAAATGATAAAAATGATATTTTAGTACATATGATATTACCAATTGTTATTCAATACTTTAAATCACAAAAATATAAAAATGGCAGTGAACTCTTATAACTTGCACGCCCCCAGGAAGACTGCTTGGGGTCACAGTAACTGACACAATTCATACCACTCTTCCTTTAGTGCAGGGGTCCTCAAACTTTTTAAACAGGGGCCAGTTCACTGTCCCTCAGACCGCTGGAGGGCCATTGGAGAGTGCGGCGCACATTCCACACATGCGCACTGTGGGCCCAGGATGAGTCGGCTGCTAAGCAGGACAGGCAGCGGCAGTAAAAACACCCTGTGGGCTGGATAAATGTCCTCGGTGGGCCGCAGTTTGAGGACACCTGCTCTAGTGAGTGGACCGAGTGGCCACAATATCTCCAAACTGTCATTCCCAGCCCACTGATTAAAAACGGGACATGCAGGCTGAGTGCCATGCTCATGCCTGTAATCCTAGCACTCTGGGAGGCTGAGGTGGGAGAATCCCTTGAGCTCAGGAGTTGAAGACCAGTCTGAGCAAGAGCAAGACCCCATCTCTCCTAAAAGTCAAAAAAATTAGCCGGGCATCGTGGCACATGCCTATAGTTCCTTCCAGCTACTCGGGAGGCTGAGGCAGGAGGATTGCTTGGGCCCAGGAGTTTGAGGTTGCTGTAAGCTATGATGATAGAGCGGCAGAGTGAGACTGTCTCAAGACAACAACAACAACAAAGGGACATGTATCACCCTTAAAGGCCAATTCTGCATGGTTTTAAATGAAATATTTTTAAAAATTATTTTTGAATGATCTCTTTATTTAGGTGCTTCTAGTGTTATAGACTCCCACATAAATGATCCTCTGCTTTGTGACATGAAGCCTTGTTGGGTTCACTGTCCAATCATGTGCCCCAATTCCCAGTTTGGAAAACATGGTCACTGAAGCCATGGTAGGTAATGGTCAGCAAGACCACTGCCTATGGTTGCACAGATTGTGCACTGCACAAGGGCACCTGGCTGAGCAGGCAAGTTGGACTAAAATCCAGTCTGTACCCTGTTCAAATGTGTGCTCTGTTCCAGAGTTGTACCTGCTCAGAGAAAGGAGTGCCTTTTCCTAATTTGCCCAAAGGTGGTATCTGCTGACCCAGCCGTGTACCCACAGAGCTGTTTCCACTCACATGGACTCTTTTTTCAATTTACACAAAAACACCACGTATATTAGCAGGGGTTCTGATGATCAGGCCCAGGCAGGGAGGCCCAGGCCCAGGGCTCAGTGCTGGAGTCAGAGCCTACCCCTTTTCTGCTGCCCCTGGGTTCCCACTTTTTCTTGGCATTCAGCAGACACAGGAAGCTCTGTTCACCTTGGGCCATCAGGCTGGCATTTCAAGATAATGACAATACCCAGCTTGGGTGTGTCTGTGTGTGTCTGTGTGGAGGGAATTACTCCACTGTGTGATGAGAGGGGAACTCAGAGTCCCCAAGAACATTCCTTCCTCTTCTTCCCTACCCCCACCCCACCCTCCTCTGCTCAGAGGCGAGTCACTCAGCTTGCAGGTTAAGAGAATTAAGCAGCAATAGGAATGTGCTTTTCTGAATGTGCCCTTCCCCTAAACACAGTCTTTGTGGCCGTTTCCAAGTGGGGCAAAGAAGGGAGAGGAAGTTGGTATCTCAGGAAACAGTTCTTATTCCTTGAGGCCCTGAGGATTTACGCTTGACTCTGACTGGGAGCTATTGTAGGTACAAGATGTTCCAAAGTGAGGGTATTGTCATTCTGAGAGCATTGAGACTCTCCATTCATCTGTCAGCTTTAGTTAAGAAAAGTCTTAGCCAAAATCAGTTTTTAATCCAGAAGGGACCACCTCCTGCTGCCCCTCCCCTATCTACAGACGGGCACACTGGGTACCAGAATGATAAAGTGTTCAGGGATTTGTCACCTGGGGAGGTTATTTTCATTTTTTATGACAGTTTTCCATAATCTGTCCTTCATTTTTGGTGTATGTCCTCCTTTATTTCGTGCTGTCCATGGGACCCGGCCTCTGTTTATTATTTGCTTCCAATGCCCTCGCTTGTCCCTGCGCCAGGGAGCTGGGGACCAGGACAAAAGAGGGAGGAGAATCCCTGGGACCTTGGTGACTTTATTTTTCTGTCTACAGCTGCAGAGGACCCCAAAGAGCCAGAGCCATTCCTGGAGCTGGAGGAAGAGGAGGAAGAGGCAGAAGAGGCCCCCTCCAGCCGTGAGCCTGCCCCCACCCAATAGGGGCCTACAGGATAAAGCGGAGGGACACGAGGGGTGACAGGAGAGGACAGCCACGGCAGAGGCAGCAGGCCCAGGCCTGAGCCAGCTGAGAGGGGCTCAGGGGACTCTTGGGGCCTGGGCGGGAAGAAGCTGAGGGGCTCAGCCAGCCCCTTAGGGGGCAGGGGAGTAGCCAGGAAAGAGAGTCTGAGGCCTGGAGAGGGAAGTGGAAGAGATTTTATTTTTAGAATGGGAAGATTAGAAAAACAGCATGCCAGAAAGTTAAGTCCGGCAACAGAAAGGACTTCCTGACTGCGAAGGGTGTGCACGGATTAGGCTTGTTTGTTTTCCTTCCCTGGATGGAGATCTTTAATAGGGAGTGGGGGAGAGCCAGGCTGAGCGGGGCTGGCCTGCGGGGCGTGCAGAGCGTCCTCTAGAGGCCAGCCCGGGACACGCCTCCCCTCTGTTCCCAGACTTGTACTCGGCACCCACTTCCTGCCAGGGCCGTTGCCGGGAGGCCTTCAACAAGCACCAGCCCTGCCACTGCAACGCCCGCTGCCAAGAGTTTGGGAACTGCTGCGAGGATTTCGAGAGTCTGTGTGGCAACCACGGTCAGTCTCCTGCTCCCTTAGGAAGCCTCAGAGACAGAGGGACTCTAGAGCAGTGGTTCTCAAAGTGTGGTCCCTGGACTGGCAGCTCACTGAGCATCACCTGGGAACCTGTGAGACATGCAAACCCTAGGGCTCCCTCTGGGCTTACTGAATCAGAAGCTCTGGGCAGAGGCTCACCGCTCTGTGTTAACAAGCCCTCCGGGTGATTGCGAAGCACGCCCACGTGCGAGAGCCCTCCTAGAGGGAAGGGGCAGTGTGGACATTTTGTGGCCACTCTGTGGACAATGCCATGTGCTGAGTTTAAGGGTCCTTTAGACTCTATGCCCCTCCCCTCCACCCACTAGGGTATGTGATTGTGGCCCCCTCCCTCGCTGCCAGGTTCTCGAAGGTGCGCGGGAGGGAAGCCCACAGATCATTTCCTGCCCACGCCCCTGGCTCTGAGACCACCCTCCCCCAATTCCTCCCAGAGGGCTTCTCCCGTAGCAGTGACGCCATAACCAAAGAGGAGCTTCAGAGCACCTCTGAGAAGATCTACAAGGCAGACATCAACAAAGCCCGGAAGGAAGACATCATTCTCAATAGCCAAAAGTGCATCTCCCCCTCGGAGACCGGAGACAAGGTGGATCGCTGCCCAGAGCCGTGAGTTCCCCTCAGCCCTCTTCCCACTCCCCCAAAGTCTCTCATCCTTGCTGCTTGTGATGCCTCAGCTCTTTACTCCAGTCAGGCTGGATCAAAGGGAGAGAAAGAAAAAAAAAATAGGTCTCCAGAGACAAATAAAGCCGTTCTGAGGGACTCTGGGTATCCAGTTGGGAGGGTTTCTGTGACTGGCCAGCCTGAGGTGGAAGAAACATGACCTCATACGTAGCCCTCAAGAGTATCTGACGTCCCCCTCAGCTCCTGAGCCAGCCCTCCTCGAGCACCTGCCCCTGGCCTGTCTAGGAGTCTCTGGAGGGGTTCTTGCCCCACGTGTAGGTCTCTCAGTGGGTCCTCTGTGCCTCCCCCAGACTCTTCACCTATGTCAACGAGAAGCTGTTATCCAAGCCCACCTACGCGGCCTTCATCAACCTCCTCAACAACTACCAGCGGGCGACAGGCCACGGGGAGCACTTCAGTGGCCAGCAGCTGGCCGAGCAGGACACCTTCCTCAAGGAGATCATGAAGACGGCAGTCATGAAGGAGCTCTACAGCTTCCTCCACCACCAGAGTGAGTGAGCTGTCCCCCGCCCCATGAGGCAGTGCTGAGGACACGGGTCTGTCTGCAGGAGGGCCAGGCGCCTCGAGGTCTCCATGGTGGGGAGGTTCAGAGGGCAGGTGAGGGGGCTCTGGGGACTTTGTGGGGGTCCATGTATATCTGGGAGGGGCCAGGGACAAGGCCAGAGAGAAGCCAAGGAGAGGCTGTGAACCCAACCGGGAGCTGAAGATGCTCTGGCTGGCTGGCTTGGACATCACTACCTTTGACCCAGCGTTAGCTGCCTCGTGTATCCCCAGCCTCTGCTTCAGTCTCAGGGTTCCCTGTAGGGCGTGAGCCTCCCCTCACACCCCACTCCCAGCCCACGGCACTTCTCAGTCCCCCAGTGGACCCCAGAGTCATTGCCACATTTCCGACTGGTAGAGGCCCTGAGTCTACCCCCTCCTCCTGCGCTGAGTCCAGGAAGCGAGTGGGCCGACTCCACGTTTTTGCTGGGGAAACAGCAACAGATCAACAAAGGTCGGGGGAGGGAAGTCCTACCAGGAAGAGTTCTGGTTGGAACGCCTCCAGATACAGATACATTCCAGTCAGACCAAAAAAGGTTCTGGCTGCAGGACTTCTTGGCAGGGGGTTGTGTTTGTTAGTGTCCTCCGGATTCCTTTCCCGAACTCCAGGCAGATGGGCTCTGTCTCAGAGGTGGCTCTGTCCAGTTCTCCCCTCGCCGTCCCTGAGGTCTCCTCCACTCAGAAATGCTGCATTCTGTCCACCTTGGTTAGGAGTTGGTGGTGCTGTTTTTCGGTAAAGCCAGGGATGCTTGATTGCAGATGCAATCCTGTGCCGCCCCCTGGCGTTCTCTTTGTAGTAAATGCGCAGCCAGTCTCGGCAGTCTGGGCTGAGCAAGGGTTTTTCAAAAGAGAGAACGGAGGCCAGGCAAGCTAGATGTATCTGAGGCCACAGAGGAGTTGGCAGCAGAGCCGGGCTGGAGCCCAGGGCTCTGAGGCCGAGGCCAGCTGTCCCAAACCTTACCTTCTCCTCCCCTTTCTCCCTGTCCAAATCCCACTTACCCTTAAAGTTCTAGCTCGCACCCCAACATGATGTATGAAGGCTCATGCTGGCTTTCAGCATCTCTGCAGAGGTGGGGAGTTTGGAGTGTGTTCCAAAACAGCTTGAGCTAGAGAGACTTGGCTTGAACCACTTGCTGGTGGTTCGACCCGAGGCAAGTTATTTTGCCTCTTTGAGCCTTACCTGTGAAATGGGGCCTTTGACGGTGAATGCTGATCAGCCCCCGGCAGAAAGCTGGCTCCCAGGAAGTGCTCAGTAAGGGCAGCTATTCAGTTAGTAAAGCTATTCTCTGTTATTTCACGTATATTAGTCTTGTTTTCCAAATGTGCTTTATGTCCTTGAAAGGAGGAAATATGTCTGGTATCTCTTTTGTATCCACCACAAAAAATTCTGGGCAGCAAAAATATTTGATGGCTCCTTAATTTAAGTCTCCAGCCCTGACCTTTCCTGTGGGTCCCAAGGGCCTTGTCAACATCTCCACTTGCCTATCCACTGAGATCTTACACAGAAACCAGTGTAGGAAGAACTCGTGGTCCCTACCTCTTCCCCCAGACCTGCCCCTCCCCGGGTCTTTCTCATCTTGTAAAGGACCATAATCCATTGGGCCAAAAGCCCAGGAGTTAGATTTAATTCTTCTCTGTACCTCACTGCTCCCCACGGGCATCTCCTCCCTCAGTGATGTCCTTCACTCCCCCCTGCAGAGTATACCCTGGATTGCCTGCTGCCCACTCCTCCACAGCTCCCACCATGACTAAGCCACTGTCAACTTCTCACCCGGACAGAGCAGTAGCCTCCAAACTGGTCTCTCTGCTTCCTGTTCATACCACCCCATTGATGTTTTGCCATACACAACCAGAGTGGTCCTTTAAAAGCTCCCGTCACATCATTCCCCTGCTGAAAACCCTTCAATGGCTCTGCCCTACCAAGAAACTCTGGAGTTGTCAAAGAGATTGGTCTCTGGAGCTAGACTGTGTGGACTCAAGTGCTATCTCTATCTCTTATGAACTGTGTGATCCTGTATGAGTCTTTTAACCTTTGTCTGCCTCAGTTTCCTCATTTCTAAGTTGGGGCTAATGAGCACCATCCTTATATGAAGATTTAATGTGAAGATTCAGTGTTATAGCAAAAGCACTTGAGACAGTGCTAGGCAGACGTGAAAGTGCTCAGTAAATTGAAAACATTTTTGTTTCATTACCACTTGTCTGAGATCTGACCTTCTTGCCATGGCTTGCAGGATCTGGTCCCTGCCTACCTCTCACACCTCCTCTCCTGCCACTCTCCCCTCCTGCTCACTGTGCTCCAGCCACATTATCCTTTCAGTTCTTTGGACATCAAACTCAAGTCTGCCTGGAGCCTTTGGCATTTGCAGTTCCCTCGCCATGGAAGAATCTTCCCCCAAGATCTTTGCAAGGCCCATTTGTTATCTTTCAGGTCTCTGATGAGTGCTACTTTCTCAGAGAGGCCTTTCTGATTGTCCTTCCTAGAAGATCCTTCCACCCTCCCATTGCCTCTCCAGTTATTAAGGGTGACTCTGCTTCAAAGCACTTATCTGAAATTGTATTATGTATCATTTACTTGTTTGTTATTTGTCTCCTCCACTGGAATGTAAACTATAAAGATAGAGACTGTTTTCTTGTTATTCCCTGCTGAATCTGCAGGCTATAGACCCAGGGCCCACTGCTAAATAGATGCCTCATAGGTAATTGTTGAATTAAGCAATTGCACATATTTGTTGATTGAACCCATGTGTCTGTTGACAAGCTGGAGCAGGTGGCCCTTCCTTGCTCTCCAAGACCAGGCCATGTGGCCCCTCTCCAAGCCCTCTGTGTTCCTGTCCTCAGACCGCTACAGCTCAGAGCAAGAGTTCATTGATGACTTGAAGAACATGTGGTTTGGGCTCTATTCAAGAAGCAGTGAAGAGGGAGACTCAAGTGGGTTTGAACACGTCTTCTCAGGTGAGATAACTCTGCTTGGCAAGAAAGATTGGAGGGATGAAGAATGGCTTTGCTCAGGAGCAGGGATCCCAGCCCTGGGCATTGCAGAATCAGCAGCCACATCAGCTAGCAAGGAGGGACACATGCACTCCCAGGCCTGGACGGACGGGTCCAAGGAGCCATGCTGAGAAACAGTCTCTTCTGGAGTATCTAAGGAGGAAAGAGGACCAGATGCTGGGACTCCCAAGGGTGTATGTAGGATGAATCAAGTAATTGGGGCAAGGTTGTCGGCCTCTGGACAGTCCTCTGCTTCCAGTGCTTGGTCAGCAGCTTCCCAAGAGGCTCATGGCCTTTCCCACCACTGCTCCGCCCCGTAAAGTTCCCACCAAGCCTGGCTTGCTCCTGGTGAGATGGACAGTGGTCTTCAGGGTCAGCAGGAGGAAGAATTCCCCAAGGCCTTGAGCCAAAAGGGGGCTTTCCTGAGCTGGGAGATAGGGGTGCGAAGCACTCTAGGGGGTCTGGACAGGGGTTAAGCAGCTGGACATTCTAGAAAACAAGACTGGAGAAGGGAGACAAACCTTGGCATGGGGTGGAGAAAGGGGGCAGAGCATCGGGGCAGGGAAGGAGCCTCAATCACCCACCTTGGACTTTTTATTACAGGTGAAGTCAAGAAAGGCAAGGTCAGCGGCTTTCATAACTGGATCCGCTTCTACCTGCAGGAGAAAGAGGGCCTCGTTGACTATTACAGTTACAACTATGACGGCCCTGTGAGTATGCGGGCTGGAAAAGCCTTGTCAGCGCCCAGACTTCCTGCCCTTGCTCTGCGTTCCAAACAGCCAGACTTGTCTCTTGCCCTGACTCCCATGGGCAGCCCACTGGGGATTGTGACCATGATGTCTTTGTCTGCTGGAGAGCAGGTTTAGCCAGCCAGGACGCTGGGAAGGCTCCAGAACAGTGAAGGCTCCAGAACTGCAGGGGATGGAGGCAGAGGACACCATATCTAGATGTGAGGTCGGGGCCAGGGAAGCATTCTCAGAGGGGAGAAACAAAGATACGCATTTACCCACTCCCTGAATTTCCTTAGAATGTAGAAGTTTCAGCCTGGCTGGTCTAAGCTAAATCCACATATTTTATAAGACAGAAACATCTGCTGTCCTTTGGCAGGAAATAATTTGGGAGCGATAAACTGTCTTTCTCTTTTGTGCATGAGGGCCACGGGGAACAGTTATGACCCTGCCCCTGTGGGATCGGTCGGATGCTGACTCTGGCCTCCCTAGTAGATGCACGTTGGCAGCTCCAGAGGGTGTGAGTAGGGCCCAGACACCTTAGCAAGGCAGACTGTCTCCTTTGTCTATTTAAAGAATCCCGTCTCCCCGAAAGGTTCACGCAAGCCCCTAATGAACCCTCAACAAATACTGGCTGCCTGTTGCCGTTTGGTACCTGTGTGACTCCTCTCTGTGGTGTTCACCAGCCCCTTTGCTGCCCTTCTTTTTGCAGTGGGATTCTTACCCCGACGTGCTGGCTATGCAGTTCAACTGGGACGGCTACTATAAGGAAGTGGGCGCCGCGTTCATTGGCAGCAGCCCGGAGTTTGAGTTTGCACTCTACTCCCTGTGCTTCATCGCCAGGCCGGGCAAAAGGTAAGCACCGGGCCAGCCAGGCCTGGGGAGCGGGCCGGGGCCGCAGGCTGTCCTCTGCCAGCACAGAGTCAGGAGACCTGGATTCTGCCACTCACTGGCTGGAAGGGCTTGGACAAATCGCTGTTCAGGGCCTAGTTTTCTTGCTTGAACAATGAAGTGTTGGATTAGGTCTGCAGCTGCCAAACTTTGTCTTAGCAGCAGAACCGCGTCCCCTCTTTCCCTCTAAATTAAATCTTATATTTCTTATATGTTAAGGACCTTCATACGTAAAACAGTTGCCCTGAGGCTCTAAGCCTCTCTATTTGGATTGTGAGGCTGCTCCGTGGAGGAGGGGGACCCTAGAGCGGCAGACAGTACAGACTGAAACTGGCCCTCACGTTCTCTTACCTTTGGAGACTCTCTTTAACATTTCGGTCCTACTACTTATGAAACCCTGAGCAAACATTTAATTCTGAGGATTTCAGCTCTAGAATCTGGGATTGTAGGGATTTTAGACTATTGCTCTGGGGATGAGGAGCAGTGTTTTTTAAAGAAGACAGAAAACAAGGCATAGATTTCAAAAGGGCTCCCTTCATATGGGGGGCTGGAAGCAGGTCTGCCTTAGCAGCCATTTAAACAGGATGGAGCCCCGTCTGCTGGGGTTGGGCTTGAGACTTCCAGCCGAGGACAGAGGCAGGGTAAAGTGGTGAGCACCTCTGATTTCGTGAACTCTCCCCACAGGTGCACGTTAAGCCTGGGTGGACATTCCTTGGCCATCCAGACCTATACTTGGGACAAGACCACCTATGGAAATGGCAAGAAGTACATCGCCACAGCCTATGTGGTGTCTTCTACCCGATAGAGCCTTGAGCCAGAAAGGGGCATGAGGGCAGGGCAGTGAGGGCTCTTGCAAGGCCGAGGTGCCATCTGCTGTGGACTTCAGAGGGGAAAGAGGAGACTGGGAGGGGGTTCCTAAATCTCAAATCCATGAGAGGGATTCCCAAATCCCCAAATGCCCATATGGGAAAGAAAAATGATATAAATCAGAAAAAATTGCAGAGAAACAGTCAAATCTTTGTCCTCTAGCATTTTGGTAACATAGACTAAGAAACAGAGTCCAGGCAGAGAAGGTGGACTCCTTTGCAAGCTCTTTGCCCTGATGTGTGGTGGAACCACAAGCAAGTCCTTTGACCTCACTGGGCCTCATGCTTTCCTTTAATGTAAAGGGAAGGGGCCTGACCTCTTTCCTCTTTTGGGGGTTGGTGAGAGGGCAAACCTGGTGATACAATTACTGTGAAGGTGTTGTCAATTCTTCTAAGGAAGAACGGCTGATAGCAATTCATTCAAGATTACTATAATGGCTGTTATTGTACACAGCTCTGCAAACTAAAATTCAGCCCTGTGTTAGGGGCCTCAAGGAAGTCAGGCCATAGAAATCAGGCAGTGGGCCTTTGGACTTTTCTAGAGTTAGATCCTCTTAGAACAGAGTCTGGGAGAATCTGACACTGGAGAAGGATAATGGGTTGGTGCAGTGAGCAGGCTAGGGGTAGGGTGGCCTTCTCTGGACCTGAGTGATTTTGAAGCCAGCTCAGTAGCTGCATCAAGAAGCTTCCCACTTGTGGGCGTTTAGTGCACTTATAGACTTACGTTTTCATCCCAAATAGTTTTTGAAAGAATTCCCCTCATAGGAGGAAGATGTCGTATCAGAAGAAGTAAGGAGCCTACAGTTTTGTGAATTAACATAATTATTTTAAGGCCTATACAGCAGCCATAATTTGAATTAGTCTAGAATAGGAGACCAGGGAGATGTGGGTTCCCTAACTCAACCTGTTATGCATTTCTCCACGACTCCACTGGAAACCAGATGTTGTCTCACAGAGCTAGGCGGACTACAGTTTAGAGGGTTTGAGTTTCCAATTAAAGTCATTTAAGAAAATATGAACTGTGTCTCTTCTTTGTATATGGCCCCCCTCAACTGTCTGTCTCCTCCCTGGAGCAGGGCTAGGAGTGATACTTCTACTTTAGTGTCTTTTAAGAATCTTGGAGAATGTGGTATCTGGGTGAAGTCCCCGATGACTCCCCAAGGCTCTCTAGCCAAGAGGGGAAGAGAATTCCTCCTGATGCACCTGTAATATGAGGAGTGGAAGGAGCATTGCACACAGATTATGAGGAGGGGGTGAATGGAGACTGGTGGCCTCATCCTTAATAACCATTTCCCTTAATCACATACACAGGAGTATAAGGATGCCTCTGGATGCAGCTTCTGTGGTCACAGAGGTTGACCAAACTGTGGGAAGAGGGGATGCTAAAGAGATACACAAAGAGATTTCTGACCTGTAAGAAGATTACTTAAGCCACAATGCTAGAAAAATGTCAGGTATGAAGGGATATCTCAGGCTAGTTACCAGAGTGCAGATAGATGAAACACGGCCTTGTCCTGCCCTTCCCCAGCAAGACAGGGAGTCAGTGGAGCATAGTGGTTACAGTACAGGCTCTGAAGTCATGTTGCCCGGTCACAGTCCCTGGCCAGACTCTGTCATTTGCTGGCTGATGAGCCAATTTCCTCATCATTCAAATGGGGATAATATTACCACTTTTGTGACATAAGCAATGTAAAATAACATGCTAACCATTCTTACAATAATTATTGTCTCACTTATATAGATTTCATTTCACACTAGGAGAGGCAATTTACCATCTTTCTTATCAGTCTTAACCTTCATCTACTGGTACATGCAACACTTGTGCTCCTTACAGACCTCTTCAGAGGTCTTCCAGGTAGTCACATGGGAAACAAAGAGAAAGAGATGTAGGAGAGAGTTACCCTATTCTAGCATCTGGACCTTAGCTTCGCAGGAGGGAGGGGCAGGAACTAACATTTGTTAAGCTCTTACAATGTCCCAAGCTGTGCTAAGAAGTCCTTTTGTGTACATTTTCTCATTCTGGTAGATATTTTTTTTTAAGCTTCTGACTACATCTTGCATGATCTGGTAGGTATTTTTATCTTCACCACTTTAATTTTACCTAGATAACTGAGGCTCTGATTAAGCCACATTTGTAGTAAGCAGCAGAATCAGGATTGCAAAATTCAACCCTTTTCCTTATGTTGTAGTGAGCCTGGATTTCTAGCATTATCCACTCATTTATTCATTCATTATTCTTTTAAAGAATATTTACTGGCCAGGCTTGGTGGTTCACACCACCTATAAGCTATAATCCTAGCACTCTGGGAGGTCAAGGCAGAAGGATTGCTTGAGCACAGGAGTTTGAGATCAGCCTTGGCAACACAGTGATACATTTCTACAAAAAAATCAAAAAGTTATTTGGGCATGGTGGCATGAGCCTGTAGTCCCAGCTACTCCAGAGGTTGAGGCAGGAGGATCGCTGGAGCTCAGGAGTTTGAGATTACAGTGAGCTACAAAGACGATGCCTACTCTATCTGGGGTGACAGAGCAAGACTCTGTCTTAAAAAAAAAAGAATACCTATTAAGAACTGTGACAGAGGCTGCTGGTTGCCTCTCAATATATGCTTTCCTCCTCCTCTTCCTTATTCATTGAACTCCCAGTTTTTAGATATGCACATGACTGCCAAGAGTAAAAACTCTCAACCTCCCTTGCAAACAGAAGCGGCCATGTGTGCAAGTCCTGGCCAATGGTATGTAAGAGGAAGTATTCTTTTCTTTTTTTTTTTTTTTTTTTTAGTAGTAACATACAAGGGAATTTTTTTTTTTTTTTTTGAGACAGAGTCTTGCTTTGTTGCCCAGGCTAGAGTGAGTGCTGTGTGTCAGCCTAGCTCACAGCAACCTCAAACTCCTGGGCTCAAGTGATCCTCCTGCCTCAGCTGCCTGAGTAGCTGGGACTACAGGCATGTGCCACCATGCCCGGCTAATTTTTTCTATATATATTAGTTGGCCTATTAATTGCTTTCTATTTATAGTAGAGACGGGGTCTCACTCTTGCTCAGGCTGGTTTTGAACTCCTGACCTGGAGCAATCCACCCGCCTCGGCCTCCCAGAGTGCTAGGATTATAGGCGTGAGCCACCGCACCAGCCACGAAGTATTCTTAAAGAGCAAGGGTTGCCATTATTCCCACTCTTGCCTCCTCCTGCTGATTGGATTTCAGATAAGGTCACTGGAGCTTGAGCAGCAACCTGGAACCACGAGTGAAAGCCAGGTGCTGAAGATGGTAGAGCAGCAAGGTAGAAGGAGCCTGGGTCTGACACTGGGCTTGCCATACTAGTCCTGGGTGCTTATATTCAGTCCTATGGGAGAGAGAAATAATCTTCTCTCATGTTTAAGCCACTCTTATTTTGGGCTTTCTGTCACATACAACCAAATCTAATACAGGTTTGGAAGCCCCAGGGTTTATAAATTTTCTTCCTAAAGTTGCTTAGCTAATATTTGCCTTCTTAAGATTTATGTTAACTGTCAGAATCTTTATTTATTTAACTCTTTGAAAGATACCTATAATTGTTTTGGATGTAAAATTAACAATATTCACAATAATTACAACATTTTATTGTTGCAATAGTACACATTCATGTTTATTTCCACTGATCATTTAAATTTCAACATATAAAGCACATAACGAGATTGTCTCTTTGAAAATGACTTTTCAGATATTAACAATAAATTCAATTGAGATGACTGGGGTTTATTCTCAATAAAGGTACATAAATGAATGAGACATAAAAGCAGGATTTGCCAATCTTGTTGAAACCCATTGGAAGACAATTTTCAACAGAAGTGGGAAACTCTGTGTGGAATCTGGAAAAGAACTTAAAATGGCTTGGGTCTGAGCTCACAGCAGAGAAGGCTGCCATCACAGGTGCAGTTTTATTGGGACAACAGGAGCCTCAGAATTAGGGGATCATGGCAATCAAGATCATTCCATTAACTCTTTTCACTTTGATTTTATATTCACTAAACAACCTTCTGATTATCATGTGGCTTGAGAGAGAAAGAGAGAGGGAGAGGCAGAGAGAAGAGAGGATCACCTAAGGGTCTCTGACGTTTTACAGGAGCAGCCAGCTGGCCTCCTTATCTCTCATTTCAATCAACTCTCCCAGAATTTATTTTACATAAATTATATTTTTTAAAAAGATGGAATGCTTCATGAATTTGGGTGTCATCCTTGCATAGGGGCTATGCTAATCTTCTCTGTATCATTCTAATTTTAGTACATGTGCTGTTGAAGTGAGCACAAATCTCCCAGAATTAATAAATCAAATGTAGTTGGTTTTGTTAAGAATGTCAATAAATCAATATCTGTTTTAAAATGATTTGTTATTAATTTAAAAACACATAAGAAACTCTTTAAAAGTCAGTTACCTATCTCCCTAACACAACTAAAAAAAATCATTCCATTAGTAAATACTTCGATGATGCACTTAATGATTTGACTACTATAACTTTAAAATACAAAGATATAATAATTAAACAATGGGAAAGATGTGCTAATCATATGACTTCATGAGGGAAGATCCCAAGGTAGTTTTTCATTGACCAGCATCTGGGTTAGTGGTTCCTAGTTTCAATTATACACTTGTATCCTATGCTTTAAAAAATTCTGATGCAGGCTGGGTGTGGTGGCTCATGCCTGTAATCCTAGCACTCTGGGAAGCTGAGGCAGGAGGATCACTCAAGGTCAGGAGTTCGAGACCAGCCTGAGCAAGAGGGAGACCCCTGTCTCTACTAAAAATAGGAAGAAATTATCTGGACAACTAAAAAAATATATATATAAAAAATTAACCGGGCATGGTGGCACATACCTGTAGTGCAAGCTACCCGGGAGGCTGAGGCAGTTGGATTGCTTGATCCCACGAGTTTGAGGTTGCTGTGAGCTAGGCTGACATCACAGCATTCTAGCCTGAGTAACAGAGCCAGATTTTGTCTTTAAAAAAAAAAAAGAAAAAATTCTGATGCTCAGATTGCACCCCAGACTAATTAAATCAGACTCTCTGGGATAGGACTCAGAAGTTGGTGTGTGTGTGGGACACATACAGTCCCTAAATAATTCCAAAGTTCAATCAAGCTTGAGAACCACCCGTCAGGATTTTGAGGATGACGTTTGAGATCATAGAGCTGGTTCAAATTGAAAGTTTTGTTTTTGTGGACTTCTAAAATTATTTTCATTTTATAATTTTAGAGTTTTCACCCTAACACAACTATTTTTGTAGTGACAGCCTTCTCTCCTGAGAGCTTCCTTCCTTCCTTCACACAGGAAACAGAAGCAAAAAGTGTTAAAAGCTGCATATTCTTTTTCCTATGTAAGCCACAGCATATCTAAAGACAGACCTTAATACTGGCACACATCAAAGAAAGACTAAGAGAGATACACTTAGAAAAGGAAAGCATTTACTTGCAAAAGGTGTAACGGAGTCAGACTGAAGGACTGGTTTGCCAAATGCAAGTACTTAAAGGAAAAAAAAATACAGCAAAATCGCCAGGGTTACAAGTTTACAAATCTGTTCATGGTAGAAAAACAGTAAATTTCTCACATGATTATAATACTCACATAGGTCATGACATATTGTTAGATACCAGCAAGGTAAATATTAGGTTTAACATTGGGGGTAGTCCAAGGAAATAGTCAAGGTTCTATTGTTTTGGGGATTAGAAAGTCAGGATGACCCTGCAGTTTTGGGGTTATCTGATGTAAACTTTAGTTATATTGGAAGCAGGCAATGAAAGGGTTAGACGCTGCCTTCACACACTCCCTTCGCCAAGCTGGTTCTACCCCGTGCAGTCACGAACCTGACCTTCTGCGCACGCTCGAGCCCAGGATCTAGGGGGCGGGGCAAGGGCTCGCGGGGGCTTGTGGGAAAGCGCAGGAAGGCGGCGGCCGGCGTGAGTCGCTGCGGGTCTGGCGCGTCGGCTGTGCAGGCACTAACGGCCTGCCCGGTCAGGTGAGCGTGCACTCCCGTTATCGCTGCTTGGAGCAGCCGAGGAGACCTATGGGGTCTCCTAGCGGGAGCAGGGGGCGCGGCTGTGGGTACCGGTGAGGCGGAGTGGGCGGGGGCAGGCGGCGTTGGGGCGGCGCGTCCGTGTCCAGGGTAGCGGAGTCCCGGGGAGCGAGTTCCCCGGAGCGGTTCGCCCCGCGCCACCCAGGCCTGGGGGTTCGGCTTTGCTCACGGACCCTCCACCCCCGCCGCCCGGGGTATTGGGCGATTTGCGGTGTTCGGGACTGCGGAGCCCCTTCCCGAGAGGACCGGGCTGGGGGCCGCCCCATGTCGGCGTTGGTGTGCAGTGTTTGCCTGGATATTGGGTATGAAAGTGATGCCCCAGGCGCTGGAAGTTTCTGGTAGCAGGCCTGGACCCCTGCCCCATCGCAGGTTCCGAGGGAGCATTTGGGCCTGCGAGAGCATCAAAGGTGATAGGTGAAGTGGAAAAGTTTCCAACTGGAGATTGGAAACAGCCTCTCATTGCCTTGCTGCGCTTTTATTCATATTTTTGAGTCCCCAGCAGAACATTGTCCTAGTTTTGTTTCTGAATAGGATGCACATATGTGATCGATCACACATGGACACTGCCTGAAAGAAGCTTTAACTTAGTTTAGTTGTTTAGCCTGGGGATCAGAAGACCTATCTGCGTCTGCAGCTATGACTTCTTTCTTCCATAGTGAGATATTTTTAACTGTCCTAAACAAATACTTTTTCCAGTTCTTTCTCTCTCCTTCCTACCTTACTTCCCTCTTAAGCTTTGAATCTCCTCCCACCTCTTTGGGGACTTGGGCCCAGACTCATCCTCTTTCTTATGTCTTCTTTTACTTTGTTCCTCTTCTCCCCCCAGATTAATACTCAAGAACAAGCCTTACATTATTAAAGGCACATTTACTCTTTTTTTGTCTTTAGCCCATGTTCATTTTTTTTTTTTTTAGACAGAGTCTCACTCTATAGCCGGGGCTAGAGTGCAGTGGTGTCAGCCTAGCTCACAGCAACTTCAGACTCCTGGGCTCAAACAATCCTTTGCCTCAGCTTCCCAAATAGCTGGGACTACAGGCATGTGCCATCCTGCCCAGCTAATTTTTTCTATATATTTTTAGTTGGCCAATTAATTTCTTTCTATTCTTAGTAGAGACAGGGTCTTGCTCTTGCACAGGCTGGTTTCCAACTCCTGACCTTGAGCGATCCTCCTGCCTCGGCCTCTCAGAGTGCTAGGATTACAGGCATGAGCCACCATGCCCGGCCTAGCCCATGTTCTTTTTCCTTTGCATGAGTTAAAGGCAGATTTACTCTAATCTTCATATAATTTCATTTACTTAGCTCTTTTTGTTTCCCATCTTTTTTTTATCCCATGAAAACTCTCAATAATCTTCGTATTATTATATATAAAGCATTTTATTTCCCTCTGTATGACATTTGTGGCATTTGTCACTGCTGACCTCTCATATTTTTGAACTCAGTTTCTCTGATCTTCAGTGACAGTACACTCGAGGTTTTCCTCTCAATCGTCTAGGTGCTACTGCCCAGTTTTTCCTAAGAGATCTTTCTCTGTTTGTTCCCTAAATATTAGTGTTCTTCAGGATACCCCCATTTCCCAATAGTCACAGTGATTAAAATGGCCAAATCCACGATTCTAGCTTCTGCTTTTATGCTGGTGACACACTCAACTTTATCTGTAGTCCTATATAACTGCCTCTTGGATATCTCCTCTCCTGATGTCCCCCTAAGCACTTAGATTCAGCTTGTTCCAAACTGAAATAATCTGACTTTCCATTTGCCCTTCAACTCTGAAATCTCTTTTACTTTTAAAGTTGTATTTCTTGACTCAAAATGGTATCTATCAGTAATCTTAGCAGGCTTCTAAGCCAAACATCTAGGCCACTGTGAATCTTCTTCTGCTCTCCAACTCATCAGTCTAACCAGTCATCAAGTCCTTTTTATTTTACTACCTCCATACCTTCACATAGCTTTTGGAATATTCGTCAGACTTCATACTCTGGCATTTCAAGATCTATCCCATAGCCACCTGTTTAACCTCTTCATTCTCCCTCATAGTCTTTCACTCTGCCTTCCCACTCCTGTCTCTTAGTCACTTCACTGGCCCCTTTTGAAACCCAACTAAAGTTCTAACACCTCTGAGGACTTCTTCCTTGACTCTACCACTCTACCATCTGATTTATGTCTGTCCTTTGTGATCAGTTCCATAGCATATGTACATACCTTTAGCACAGAGTTCTTGGGGGTAGTTTTGCCTGCCAGGGGACATTTGGCAATGTCTGGAAGCATTTTTGGTTGCCACAATCCAAGAAGGGAGGGGATAATACTGGCACCTAGTCGGTAGAGGACAGAGATGTTGCAAACCATTCTATAATGCACAGGACAGCACCCTTACAACAAAGAATTTTTTGGCCCAAAATGTCAGTGGTGCCAAGGTGGAAAACCCCTGCCTAACATAATATTTTGTTACTCAGTACTTTGATTATTTTGGTTTTTTCCTCCACTAAAGGAGGGACCTTGTTTTGTTTTTGCATCCCTAAATCTTGACACAGGGCCTTTCGCATAATAGAAGTTAAATAAATGTTGGAAGAAAAAGGAATAAAGGAGGTAATTGGGATATACTTATAAACTGCAGAGGTAAGCAGCCTATCTGCTACCATAGGCTACTTGCTGATTTCATTTATTTTTCATTGTCTTTCATCCATGTTGCATTTCAAGGATGTTCATACTTGTCTGTTTTTCATTTGTTTATTCAACAAACAACTGATTCATTTAAGAAATATTGACCTTTTCTTTATTCAGTGTCACTTTAAGCTCTTCTCTGTCCATGTATCTTGGCCATTTGTGAAGTGGTGAAAAAATTAATTAGATTTCAGAAAGATAAGCCAAATATCCTATTTAATTTTTTTCAGAGGTGGTTCAAAACTCTGCAGTCATAATGACTTCGACAAATAAAGCAGTTGAATTACAACTACAAGTGAAACAAAATGCAGAAGAATTACAAGACTTTATGAGGGATTTAGAAAACTGGGAAAAAGACATTAAACAAAAGGATATGGAACTAAGAAGACAGAATGGTGTTCCTGTAGAGGTAAATTGAGAATTCCCTAATCTGTCATGGAATTTTTTTTAAAAGGTATTCTTAAAGCACCCAGCAAAGCTATTTATTTTAAAATAAAGAACAATGTTTTAAAAATGTTTTGTGAAAACACTGACATCGAAATGATTTGGTTCACTGTCAACATGTTTAGAAATTTTGCCTTTTAGAAAGTCTTTGTAATAATTATATTAACTATAGTAAGATATTTTAAGGCTTAGTGAATAGTTGCTGAAAGGATGAGCATGTGATAACACTTAAAGGGAAATGAATAGCGTCGTAAAATATGTAGAAGTGTGTGCATAGAAATAATATGTATGGTTATATTTTTAATGCTATATTAATATACCATATTGGGATAAAAATGCAGGTAGTACCTAGGTTCAACCAAATTTTTTTTTTTTTTTTTGAGACAGGAGTCTCACTTTGTTGCCGGCTAGAGGTGAGGGGCGTGGCGTCAGCCTGGCTCACAGCAACCTCAATCTCCGGGGCTCAGCGATCCTGCTGCCTCAGCCTCCCGAGTAGCTGGGACTACAGGCATGCGCCACCATGCCCTAATTTTTTGTATATATATTTTTAGTTGGTCAATTAATTTATTTCTATTTTGGTAAGGACGGTCTTCGCTCAGGCTGGTTTTGAACTCCTGACCTTGAGCAATCGCCCGCCTCGGCCTCCCAAAGTGCTAGGATTACAGGCGTGAGCCACCATGCCCTGGCTTCCAACCATTTTTTTAAGACAGTGTATTAAATGTTTTCATACAGGTTTTTCATACTGTATGTGGTATTGTGGAGATTCTTCAGTTGCCTTTGTTCCACTGTTAATTCATTGCACTAAGGCTAAAGGTCAGGTAGTTTTTGAGTTTGAATTTAGGATTAAGTTAAAGGTATTAGAATTTCCAGTAATACTTTCTGTGACTGAGAATGTTCAACATTCATCAAAGGATGAATTAAACTTTTTGAGCATAATTACCATCATAAGTGAAGTAAAATTGGTATTTTTAAGCACTTAAATTAAATTTAAAATTACTTCTTAATAAAATACAAGTTAGTGGAGTTTAAACAGTAGTAGTTTAAAAGAGTAATGGAGCAGAGTGTGCAAACTTTGTTTTTTCCTCCCTAGAATTTACCTCCTATTCGAAAATGGGAATTTTAGGAAAAGAAGAAAGCAAGCCAAGATCTTCAAAAAAACCAAAGAGGAAAATACAAAAACAGGATAAAATCTTACGATTATGGAGCATGGGCAAACTGATGTGGTAAGTTAATCTCTTTGTCTTGATAACTTGAATACAATTTCTTGTAGCTGCTAATTCATGGGTTAGATGAAAAATAATATGGAGTTTTTGGCTTGGTGTCCTGTTCTAGACTATTTTATGTGAAATATTAAATTTAATTACATAGCTCTTTAGTTAACTAGTTGTTATTTTTATTTTTTTTTTTGAGCGAGTCTCGTTTATGTCCAGGCTAGAGTGGAGTGCCGTTGGCGTCAGCCTAGCTCACAGCAACCTCAACTCCTGGCTCGAGCGATCTTTTCTGCCTCGATCCGAGTAGGTGGAACTAAGCATGTGCACCGATGCCGGCTAATTTTTTACTGAGGTATTATATACAGTTGGCCAATTATTTTATTATTAGGTAGAGACGGGGTCTCGCTCTTGCTCAGGCTGGTTTTGAACTCCTGACCTTGAGCAATCTGCCCGCCTCGGCCTCCCAGAGAGCTAGGATTATAGGTGTGAGCCACCGCGCCCGGCCTAGGTTATTTTTTTTCTGCAATCCTTTTTCAGTGAATGGTGGATAAATAGCCAGGATTTGATTCAATTCAATTTGATTTGATTCTCTTCTCTTTTTTCTTTTTCCTCCCTCCCTTCTTTCCTCCTTTCTTTCCTTCTTTTTTTTTCTTTTTGCAAAAATTACTGTTTATTTATTTATTGCTACTTATTTATCCAGTGTACTCTTCACCTAGTTTCCTCCACTGGTTACATCGTACTTAACTATAGTATAGTATCAAAACCAGGAAATTGAGATTGATGCAATATGTGTTTAGTTCTGTGCCATTTATCCCATATGTAAGTTTGGGAAACCACCACCGTAAGTGAGATAAAGAATGCCGCATCACCACAAAGATCCTCTTTGTGTTAGTCCTTTATAGTCTCAAGACCCCCTTCTTCCCCAACTTCTCTAACTCCTAAACAGCCAGAAATCTGATATTCCTAGAAAAGAATGATTCTGTGGATGTCTCTTATTACAGACCAAAGGACCTGTGGAATACTGCTTAAAGAGAATGCCTTTGTGTCTAGTCATAGAGCTGGGGCTTTGTGACAATAAAAGTAGGCCTATCCTGATCCCAGGAGGGTGGGCTTCATCCTTCTAGACTGGTACAGTAAATGTGTGGCCTCCTATCTCCCACATATGACACACAATGTACTTGGACAGTTATCACCAGTGCTCTGCCTCAGAACCCTCTACCAGTGCTCCAAGCAGCCACTGTCACATCAGCCTGTGAAACGGAGGGGACTTGTTGGCCAGCCTTATTCTGGATTTTGACCCTCTTTAAGAGTTGATTTTTGGAGAGTGTGATAACCAGATTTGGAATATACATCCTTTTTAGTCTTTTAAATTGTTTCATATATAATATTTGATTCATGCAAAAGAGTATGTTCTAAAACAGAATGAATATGTGAGCCTACCATCTAACTTAGAGAATTTTTCTAATACTGTTGAAGTTACTGGTGTGTTTTTTTCCTTTCCCATTTTCAACCCCCAGAGGTAACCACTATTCTGATTTCTATGTTTATTGTTTTCTTTGTGTTTTTCTGTTTAACCTTTTTACTGAGGTATAACTTATATACAGTAAAGTCCAAAAATCTTAAGTGTGTAGCTTCCTGAATTTTTACTCATTTATACATCTGTGAAACCACCATCCAGATCAAGATCGAGAGCATTTCCAGCATTGCAGAAGCCTCCCTTTCAGTTGATGACTTCTCAAAAATAGACACTGTTCTGACGTCTATCACTGATATTTTGTCATTTTTGGAATTTCATATATAAATGTGTTACATAGTATGCACTCTAGTGTCTAGCTTTTTTTGCTATTTTTATCTGAGATTGATCTATATTGTAAGTAGCAGTTTTTTTTCATTGCTGACCATAATTTAATTGTATGAATATTTAACAATTTGTGTGTCCATTCTCCTATTGATATACATTTGGGTGGTTTCTGGTTTGGGGCTATTATGAGTAAACCTGCTATGAACATTCTTGTTCTTGTCTTTTATTGGACATAGGCATCTGACAGGGGGATTTCTGAGTCTTAATTTATACATGTAGTTAGCTTTAGAAGATAAACAGTTTTCCAAGTTAGTTGTGTTGTATTTTTCTTAATGAAACCAAGGCTAATTAACTCAAGAGACAGATGGGACTATTATTTAAATAGTTTGCCATCTGCTTCAGTATTGTCCCATTATAAGAGAAGTAAAATTTTGGGTCTGGAATTTATTGCTGTTGGAGAAATAATGCTATCTGAACATACAATTTATTCTTAACTGAGTATTACATAATCTACCTTCATTTTTTGTGACTTTAATCCTTATTGTACAGCCTGCTCCTTTTCGTAAGTTGGTGTCTTTCTTATAATGCCCTTTCCTGAAACGTATTATCTCAGATGATTTCTCATAGAAATGCTTTCTACATAGTCATTTTACTCATTCAGCAGATACTGATTGAGCTTCTGCTGTTTTATGGACAGTCATATCATGATTGTACTGCATTGCTTGCAGTTGTCATTTTAGTGTCTGTATAGAAGATACAGGTGTTTACTTTCCATTGTAGTTCAGATCTGAGCAGCTACCTTAATGTCCTACTGCTCTTAGTTTTTTATGTGTCAGCATAGTGGGGTTAGAATAATCTTGGCTATGATGTTGATAGGCTGGTGTGGTGTTTATAGAATTTTCGTGCTAAAACACATAGCTAAATTTTAATCCATGTTTTAAGTTCATTCAGTGAAACTAAACATAAGTTTTATTTTGTTTTTTCTTTTATCAACAATTTGTTTTTTCTTCTATAAACAGCTTAAAATAGTGTGTTAAATGCAAAAAGGATTTTGTTCATGTAATTAAAGTTTGTGTCTAAAGGAGTTTACTGAACTCTAATGCTTATTGCTTTAAAATATCTTACTAAAATTATTATTATCATTATTATTATTATTATTATTTGAGACAGAGTCTCATTGTTGCCCAGGCTAGAGTGAATGCCGTGGCATCAGCCTAGCTCACAGCAACCTCAATCTCCTGGGTTCAAGCGATCCTACTGCCTCCGCCTCCCCGAGTAGCTGGGACTACAGGCGTGCACCACCATGCTCAGATAATTTTTTTTTTTATATATATTTTTAGTTGATCAATTAATTTCTTTCTATTTTTAGTAGAGACGGGGTCTCGCTCAGGTTGGTTTTGAACTCCTGACTTCAAGCAGTCCACCTGCCTCAGCCTCCCAGAGTGCTAGGATTACAGGCGTGAGCCACCATGCCCAACCTATTTTTTATTGTATATGATAAAAATATGGTTTTTACACATCATTGTGGGGTCTCTGAAATTGTTTATTACTGTGAAAGAAGTGAGTGTGAGTCAAAAGAGATTGGAAATTATTGGACCAGCATATGTTTTTTTTTCGGTAGAGTCAACTATCTTTTGGAATATACCAAGAGACAGTATAACAGTGATCAAGAGCTCAGATTTTAAAAAAAAACCCTTTTTCTGTTACTGGGTGCTAATTAAATCATTTTAGGGTTATTTGCATACTTCTCTTAAGTCAGGCCATAGTACCTCACTGCTAATAGTTCGTGATTTAGGGGTAATTTGTAAACTCTATTAATTTAGCTTACTCTATGAGTAAGATTCTTTAAGTGGTTTGGATCCTGGTTATTTAAACAAGGGCACTTTTTTCTTTGGATATAATCTCAATAATGACAGATTATTTGGATTGCTTTCATAGGACTATAGATCCTTAGATTGTAACAATTTAAGTTTTTTTCAGTGTATTTTTTATGTCTTTTTTTTTTAATCATGTAATTGTGAGCACTGTTCTCCTACTTTTGATTTCAGGACAGTATCCTTGATGAGCTTGACAAAGAAGATAGTACCCATGATTCTCTGTCTCAAGAATCAGAGTCAGAAGAAGATGGGATTCGTGTAGATTCACAAAAGGCTCTTGCTTTGAAAGAAAAGGTACTCTTTAGGTTAGCTTTAGATACTTTGAGGTAAGCAGGATATGTAGAAAATCATGTGGATCCTAAAATTTCTTGAACATAGTTTAGGGAGTATTCAAACTATGTTTGGCTATATCCTTCTCGTGTGGCATTATAGTATTGTGGTTAGGAGTACATGCTCCAGAGCCAGATTACCTAGATTCAGATCTGTGATAAGTTCTTTAACCTGTCTGTACCTCAGTTTTCTCAGCTATAAGATGAGACTAATAATATTACTAAGCCTCAGTGGGTTGCTGTCAGTATTAAGTGAATTATTACATGTAAAGTACTTGGACTGTACCTGGAGTTGTTCCAGGGTTTTTTTTTCTTTTAATTTTTTTTAAATATAAAAAAAATTTACCATAAGTGTTTCTCTTTTATCAGGAGAGAAAGAGATGTAGAAACACAGAGGTTCTGAGAATGTCTTGTTCCAGAGTTTTTAATAGTAGACTGAAGTAACTTGAAATTAGTGTGTCTGTTGGTGTAAATATTACATTCTACTCCTTCATGTCGCAGGCCATCTCTCTGAGGGATGCGTCATTATAAAACCATAGCTTTCAAAGAGGTGTTAACTGTTTTCAGATTAGACTTCATCTAGATGCCTTTTTTGGGTTACATTTCTGTGGGTTGGTATTATCAATAAAAAGTATAATGCTAGATATTTTATTCATTTTTCTGCTGTGGTTCTTGGGTTGTGCCCATACAGTGACGGTATGCAGTTGACCCTTGAACTGTGTGGGGTTAGGGATGCTCATTCCTCACGCAGTCAGAAATCTGCTTTTAATTTTCGAGTCCTCCAAAACTTAACTTTTAATAGCCTACTGTTGATTGGAGCCTTGTGGATAACATAAGTGGTCAATTAACATATATTTTGTACAATATAATGTATTATATATATATACTGTGTTCTTGCAATAAAGTAAGCTAGAGAAAAGAAATGTTATTAAGAAAATCATAAGAAAGAGAAAACATATTTCCTATCCATTTTGGGGAAGTGGATCATCATAAAAGACTTCATCCTCATTGTCTTCACATTGAGTAGGCTGAAGAGGAGGAGGAAGAGGTGTTGGTCTTGCTGTTTCAGAGGTGGCAGAGGAGGTGGACAAGGTGTAATTTTTATTGAAAAAAATCCATAGTTCAAACCTGTGTTGTTCAAGGTTCAACTGTAGTGAATTTCAGCACTTGTAAAAAGACTATTTTTGTTGTTTCTCTTTTCTTTCAGGGCAATAAATACTTTAAACAAGGAAAATATGATGAAGCAATTGAATGCTACACAAAAGGCATGGATGCTGATCCATATAATCCTGTCTTGCCAACAAACAGAGCATCAGCATACTTTAGAGTGAAAAAGTAAGGAATTTCCATAATTTGTGTGCATATCTTATGTGTATATGGAGACTGGTATTGTTTTTATTTTTTTATTTTATTTTTTGAGACAGAGTCTTACTTTATCGCCTGGGCTAGACTGTGGCATCAGTCTCACTCACAGCAACCTCAAATTCCTGGGCATAGGTGATCCTCTTGCTTCAGTCTCCTGAGTACCTGGAACTACAGGCGTGCCCACCACACCAGCTAACTTTTTCTATTTTTAATAGAGATGGGGTCTCACTCTTGCTCAGGCTAGTCTCTAACACCTGAGCTGAAGTGATCCTCCCACCTTGGCTTCCCAGAGTGCTAGGATTACAAAGCGTGAGCCACTACACCCAGCCTGGAGACTGATTTTTTTTTTGAGACAGAGTTTGGCTCTGTTACTCAGGCTAGGGTGCTGTGGGGTCAGCCTAGCTCACAGCAACCTCAAACTCCTGGGCTTAAGCGATCTTCCTGCCTCAGCCTCCTGAGTAGCTGGGACTACAGGCATGTACCATCATGCCCGGCTAATTTTTTCTGTATATTTTTAGTTTTCCACCCAATTTCTTTCTATTTTTGAGTAGAGATGGAGTCTCGCTCTTGCTCAGACTGGTCTTGAACTCCTGAGCACAAACGATCCTCCACCTCAGCCTCCTAGAGTGCTAGGATTACAGGCGTGAGCCCCCACGCCTGGCCCTGGAGACTGATTTTTAAAAACATCTTTGATAATAAGAGTGTGTTGGACAGGTTGAAAATATATTGCATTTCTTTCCAGCTGTAAATTCTTATAGCTCCCTCCCTTTTATTGAGTTGTTTTATTTAAACCATTCAGTGCTCAAACCATGCTTCCATAGCTTACTTTAGTGAGATGTTCTTTTAAAAACCAAGTTCTTTACCTAATTCATAAAAGTAAAAAATGTTAATTGGATATTTTTAGAAATTAGTATCCCTCCATTATTTTGAAAAACCATTTATCCATTATTTGATCTAAAGAGCTTTCATTGTGGTAAACTTAAAGTGCCTTTCAATATTTATCTTTAAGTCATGCTGACTTTTGAACTACATACCTAATAGTGAGAAGCATAAATATGATAGCATTTTGCCTTAACTAACCTATGAGGATTTTTTGGAAAGACACCATCACAAAAGACATTCTTACTGTTTTAATTATTTAGAATTACAAATTATATTGGTGTCGAGTTTTTGCTATTTAAATGGCATATTTTTAGGTCTTTGAAACTTGGGGTATTAAAAGTCTTACACATTAGGGGAATATTTACATTTTGTAATATTTGATATCTAATTTATGTATCATATGTAAGTTATGAAGAATAATTTTAAATAAACCAATCCCCCCAACTTAAGAACTAAAGCATTACTATTATTTTTGAAGCTACCTCGATGTTCCTTTTCATATCTGTCTTTTGCCTCCTTCCCAGTTAATCACTAACTTGAATTATATATTTATCATTTTTTTATTTAAAAAAGGTTGTATGTATATAACCCTAAATAATGTGTAACTTATTTTGAGCTTTAAAAGTATTTCATACTGTATCTAGTCTTCTGTGGTTCACGTATTTCTCTGAATATTATGTTTCTATGAATCACCCTTGTTTTGCTGCATGTAACTGTAGAGCACTCATTTTCACCCTGATATATAATTCCTTTTTAGAAACATACCGTATGTATCTAATCTCTTGTTGCTGAATTGTTGGTCAGTTCCTTTCTTTCCCCTCCTTCCCTCCCTTCCTATCCCTATCTCTGTCTCCCTACTTCCTACCCTCTGTTCTTTCCTTTCTTATTTCAGTGATGCTCTGAACATTTTTGTACATTTTTGGTGTTGGGTCATAAGGTGTGTAGATGTTTAGCTTTACAGGGAGATGAACAGTTGTTACACAGGTAGTTGTACAAGTTTATATTTTCATTAGCAATGTGTAAGAATGCCTATTTCGTACCCTTACCAACACTGGTATATTTGGGCTTTCTTAATTGTTTTCAATCTAGTTGCTATAAAATGGCATTTCATTGTGTCTTAATGTGCATTTCCTAATTATTAATGAGGTTGAGCATCTTACTATATGTACATTTACCACTTTTTTTTTTCTGTGATATGCCTATTTTGTCCTTTGGCCATTTTTCTGTTAGGCTGTTTCTCTATTGATTTTTACTGGTTCTTTATTATGGATACTAATCCCTTGGTTATTTTCCTAATATCATTCTTCTCCCACTTTGTAGCTTATCTCCTTGTCTGTCTTTATAGAATCTTAATGACAGAAATTCTTTAATATATTTCAATTTGAGTTTTTAAAAGAAAAGCACTTTATAAAATGACTTGGTAAAAGTATAGTTTTCTTCTTGAATTCATTATAGTCTTCTAAATTTTCTTCTAAAAATTTTTAAGTTTTACTTTTCACATTTAGGTCTCTTCCCATATGCTGAAGGTAGGATTCTAATTTCATGTTTTCCTGTATGGACATATGACTATCCCAGTTGTTCAGCCTTATTTATGGAATAGCTGTGCTTTCACCATGGATCTGCAATGCCACAATTGTCATATGTCAAGTTTGCATGGATGATTTTCTTGTCTCTCAATTCTTTACATTGATCTGTTGCCTATCTCTTTATTCATTCCACAGTATCTTTAATTACTATAGCATTATAATTATAATAAGTTTTGCTATTTAGTCTAGGACATATTCTCCTACCTTACATTCTTCAAAAATGTTTTGGGTATTCTTGGACTTCTCATCAATATAAATTTTAGAATCATCATCTCACATTCCTTGAAACATCCTATTGGGATTTTGATTAGAATTGCATTGCATTTATAGATCAGTCTACAATTATATTATTATATTTTTGTGCTTTTCAGTTTGGAATTATATTTTTGTACCTTGTTATAGATGAATGTGAAATATTCCACTTATGTTATCTTTAATGTCCTTGAAAACAGTCTTACAAGTTTTTGCATCTATGTCTGGTAGTACATCTTTGCTAATTTTTTTTTTTTTTGGTCTATAATAAAGCAGCCACCTTGCTAAACTTTCATTATTTCTAGGAATGTCTCTAGATAATTATGAGTTTTCTGTGTAGACCATCCCATTATCTGAGAATAATGTCAGTTTCATTCCTTTGTTTCCAGTCTTTTTACCTTGTATTTCTTTCTTGTGAGACTGCATTGGTAAGGACCTCTAGTACAATGCTGAGAAAAAAGAGTGATAATAGGCATTCTTTGCATTAAAGGGAATGCTACCAATGTTTCATCATTATGAGTTATAGGCATACCTCACTTTATTGCATGTTGCTTTATGTGCTTCACTGATACTGAATTTTTTGCAAATTGCCCTCCATGGAGCAAGTCTGTTGGCACCATTTTTCTAACAGCATGTGCTCACTTCCTGTCTGTGTGTCACACTTTGGTAATTCTCTCAGTATATCAAACTTTTTAATTATTAAGTATATCTGTTGTAATAATTTCTAATCAGTGATATTTGATTTTACTGTTGTGATTGTTTTGGGGTGCCACAAAGCATTTCTGTATGTTATCGTGAACTTAATTGATAAATGTGTGTGTTCTGACTATTCCACTGACTGAGTGCTCTCCTATCTCTCTTCTTCTTTTTGGGCCTCCTTATTCCCTGAGAGACAATAATACTGAAATTAAGCCAATTAATAATTCTACAGTGGCCTCTAAGTGTTCAAGTGAAAGGAAGAGTTGCATGTCTCTGACTTTAAATCAGAAGCTAGAAATGATTAAGCTCAGTGACAAAGGCATGTCGAAAGCTGAGACAGGCTGAAAGCTAGGCCTCTTGTGCCAAACAGCCAAGTTGTGCAAAGGAAAAGTTATTGAAGGAAATTAAAAGTACTACTCCAATGAACACATGAATGATAAGAAAATGAAACAGCCTTATTGCTGATATGGGAAAGTTTTATTGGTCTGAGTAGAGCAAACCAGCTATAATATCCTCTTAAGCCAAGGCCTAATCCAGAGCAAGGCCCTAACTCCAGTTCTCTGAAGGCTGAGAGAGGTGTGGAGGCTGAAAAAGAAAAGTTGGAAGCTAGCAAGCAGAGGTTGGTTCATGAAGTTTAAGGAAAGAAGCCATCTCCATAACATAAAAATGGAATGTAAAATAGCAAGTGCTAGTGGAGAAGCTGCAGCAAGTTATCTAGAAGATCTAAGATCATTGATGAAGGTGACTGTGCTGAACAACAGATTTCAGTGTAGATGAAACCACCCTCTGTTGGAAGAAGATGCCATCTAGGACTTTACATAGCTAGAGAGAAATCAATGCCTAGTTTAAAGGACTGACTCTTTTATTAGGGGCTAATGCAGTCGGTGACTTTTAAGTTGAAGCCAATGCTTATTTACCATTCTAAAAATCCTTGAGCCCTTAGTAATTATGTTAAATCCATTCTGCCTGTGCTCTATAAATGGAGCAACAAAGCCTGGATGACAGCACATCTGTTTATAGCATGGTTTACTGAATATTTTAAACCAACTGTTGAGACTTACTGCTCATAAAAGAAGATTTCTTTTAAAATATTACTGCTCATTGACAGTGCACCTGGTCACTGAAGAACTCTGATGGAGATGTACAAAGAGATGAATGTTGGTTTCATGCCTGCCAACACACCATCAGTTCCTGTGGAACAAAGAGTCATTTTGACATTTAAGTCTTCTTATTTAAGAAATAACATTTTCTAAGGCTAGAGTTGTCATAGATAGTGATTTCTCTGATGGATCTGGGCAAAGGAAAGGAATTACCATTCTAGATGCCGTTAAGAACATGGTTCATTAAAAGAGTACTATAAGCTGCTGAATGTTGCCATAGTAAGAGAAAACTTAGTAATGTGAAGTATTTCTATTTGAAATGCTTTGCCTTTTGTATATAACCAGTATTAAATTCTTAAATGCATTACAGCCTCTGATTACTGAGCTTCCTCTCCAAAAGATTTTCTTTTTATTTTATGTAGCCATTGTAGTACTGTATGCTCAAACAAAAATCATTTCAGAAATGTTTAGCTTATGAAAATAATTGATTCTGAATATTTGTCACGTCTTTTTATGTGTTTTGATTACTAATGAGCGGATGGTATTGTAGCCTGTATCAAAAATTATTGAAATGGCAATCAGAAATGTTAAGGCAATTATTATTAATTATTATAGTTTCTTTAAACATACCCCCTGCCAAAAAGCATGTTTATGTGATCTTTCCCCAGATGTGTACCTTTTTTCAAATGCCAAAATTTAATTGAAATACTATTGTTCACTTTTAGCCTGAATTTTAAAATGAATCCTGGAAAATGCACATATTTAGTGAAATTGCGCTTTCTGTGTTTGATGAGTTAATACATGTTTAAAATGTTTAGTAGTATATAAAATTGATGGTGGCCGGGCGCTGTGGCTCACGCCTGTAATCCTAGCTCTTGGGAGGCCGGATTGCTCAAGGTCAGGAGTTCGAAACCAGCCTGAGCAAGAGCGAGACCCCGTCTCTACTATAAATAGAAAGAAATTAATTGGCCAACTGATATATATATAAAAAATTAGCTGGGCATGGTGGAGCATGCCTGTAGTCCCAGCTACCCGGGAGGCTGAGGCAGAAGGATCACTCGAGCCCAGGAGTTTGAGGTTGCTGTGAGCTAGGCTGACGCCACGGCACTCACTCTAGCCTGGGCAACAAAGCGAGACTCTGTCTCAAAAAAAAAAAAAAAAAATTGATGGTATAATTACTTATTCAGGAGGTCTGTTCTGATGGAATATGCTTTGAGTGCACTCATGAGTATTCTGGGTTCTTTCTTTACCACATTTATCTCAGGCCCAAGTTGTTCATTTCTTTTTATTAGATCCATGATCTAATAAAAAGAACCATTAAAACTAAACATTTTATTCTATTATGAGCAACAGCAACAAAGTCACATTTATTTTAAATGAATGTTGTAGAAATCTAAAATATGAATTTGAAAACTTTGTGAGAGTCTGAGGCAATATTGCAGAATTATAAAAGGATCAGCGTTTCATATATTCTGATAGTAAAAGCATTATAGTTCCAAAAGAACATGGTTCATTGAATGAGGTTAAAATATCAGCATTATCAGGAGTTTGGAAGAAGTTGATTCCAACTGTCACGAGTGACTTTGAGGGGTTCAAGACTTCAGTGAGGAAGGAACTGCAGTTGGGATGGAAATAGTAAGAGAACTAGAAGTAGAATCCAAGGATGTGACTGACTTGCTGCAAATTCATGATCAAACTTGAATGGATAAAGAGTTGCTTCTTAGGCATGAGCAAAGGAAGTAGTTTCTTGAGTTGGAATCTACTCATGGTGAAATGCTGTGAATATACACCTCCCACTGCTAAATATGCTGGGCTTTTATTTATTTATTTTAAGACTAGTCAAGTACAGTAGTGAGAAGGGGGAAAGAAGTAGAACAAGGGGTTCAGTCTGTAACTGTGAATAATCAAATGAGGTAACTCACCACCTTCGGACCAACCTTGACTGGCTTAAAAAAAAATAAAAAAAGAAATGCTGTGAATATTATTGAAATGACAACAGAGGATTTTATATATTACATAAACTTAGTTGATAAAGCAGTGACAGGATTCGAGAGGATTGACTCCAACTTTGAAAGAAGATTTACTGTCAACAAAATGCTATCAAACATCATTGCATACTACAGAGAAATCTTTTGTGAAAGGAAAAGTCAAATCAATGTGACAAACTTCATTGTCTTATTTTTAAAAATTGCCACAGCCATGCCAAACTTCAGCAACTGCTAACTGTCAGTCAGTAGCCATCGATATCAAGGCAAGACCCTCCACCAGCAAAAAGATAATGACTCATAGAAGGCTCAGGTGATTGTTAGCATTTTTTAGCAATAAATTAAGGCATGTACATTTTTTAGACATAATGCTATTGCACACTGAAGAGATTGCAGTTTAGTGTAAACATAACTTTTTATGTACTGGAAAACCAAAAAATTTGACATGCTTTATTGTGGTGGTCTGGAACCAAACCTGTAATACCTCCAAGGTATTCTTGTATTACTTTTACTAGGCTTAATTAACCAAAAGGAGGTCGAAAACATGCCTTCTATTGGGAAATAAATCCCCTTTTTAAGAATTTCGGAAGCAAATTTTGAAGTTTTGGTTTAATGATTTTTTTTTTTAAGAGATGAGGGTCTTACTGTGTTGCCCAAGCTGGTCTCTAACTCCTGGTCTCAAGGGATCCTGCCACCTCTAGGTTCGCACCACCATTCTTAGTTAATAAATGATTTTATTTACTTCATTTATTTCAATTTTTTTTAATTGCAGATTTGCTGTTGCTGAGTCTGATTGTAATTTGGCAATTGCCTTGAATAGAAGTTATACAAAGGCTTATGCCAGACGAGGTGCTGCTCGATTTGCTTTGCAAAAATTAGAGGATGCGAAGAAAGGTATTTTCCAATCATCATTATCTAAAAAAATTTTTTAACAGTTTAATCTAACAAATGGTATGCAAGGAATAGTAAATAATAACAATTTCTACTTCAGAGAGCTTTCTATTATTTGAATACAGCTCATTTTTGCAGTTTAAAAGATACCTTGATGTTTTGGGAAAGAATTCCTTATTTGTCAAACAGACCTTAGTTCAAATTCTTATTCTGCTATGTACTAGATGTGTGGACAGTTTCTTCTCTGATTTTTAGTTTCTCATTAGTAAAATAGGGATTAAAACATCTTATTGGCATTTGTGAGGCAAGAGGTAAAGCTCTCAACACATTTTTATGTATTTTATGTAATTAAGCCTTCTGTTATTCCATAAAATAGCTTTGTGTATTTTAAATCACAAAATCAATAAAGCTGATATTTAATTGGATTTTGTTGCTGCTTTATTTTATGATGTACAACTTGTGATAACAAGTATTCCCAGGGCTGGTGGAAGAAGGTGGTTTGTCATAAGATTCTGTCTGCCCTGGGGGAGAATGAAGAAAGTGCAGTAGACCAATGTTAGTATTTCTTCTTTATTTTGCTGTAGGCCAGATGCCAATTTTCCACATGTGATTAATGATTGTTGTTTTATACAGGTTTTGTAATATGTCTTTCAAAAATTGTTTATCTTCTTTTTTCCTTAGATTATGAAAAAGTATTAGAACTGGAACCAAATAACTTTGAAGCAGCAAATGAACTCAGGAAAATTAATCAGGTAAACTATAGTTAATTTAAATAAAGTTTATTACTACCTTTATTTAATGAACTAAAACTTTTTGCATAGATTTTTGTACTATAGATTTCTTTTTCTTTTGACTGTGTTGCCCTGGCTAGAGTACTGTGGCATCAGCCTAGCTCACAGCAACCTCAAACTCTTGGGCTCATGTGATCCTCCTGCCTCACCCTCCTAGGTAGCTGGGACTACAGGCATGCGCCACCACACTCAGCTAATTTTTCTATTTTCAGTAGAGACAGCATCTTGCTTTTGCTCAGGCTGGTCTTGAACTCCTGAGTTTAAGTGATTCTCCAGCCTCGGCACTCCCAGAATGCCAGGATTACAGGTGTGAACCAACTTGGCCAGCCTGTAGATTGCTAAATATAGAGATTTTCTAATTTTAATTCTTTGTACTGTAGCGCTTATTAAATGAATTTGTAAGCTATAGATAGTGTAATGGTATTTAAAGATCCTTAATTGACCATTTAAAAAGTTGGCTGAGATCTTTAGGACTACTGCTTTCCTTTTTCCTAGATGACAGAATTATTTTTTCTTTTTCTCACTGATTTTTCTTTTTTGGCATGTGCACCAATTCCTGTACTAAACTTTGGCATATTTCTTTGATTTTTTACTTTTTAGTTGCTCCATCGTTATAGTTTGTATTTTAGCAAAAACAAAGGTGATTTTTTAACAGTAAAAAAATAGTTAATACTTAAATATAAAATTAGTTGTCTAATGATCCTGAGAAGTTTTATATTCCTTTCACTTTACCTTTAAATCAAAGCTACAATTGTTTTGCCATTGTTGAAATATTGAGAAAAAAATGACAATGCTTATGGAAAATCTGCTTTTAAGTATTACCATTACTTATTGCACATAAAATCTGTTGGTAAATATATCAACATGATCATAATTATGAACTGTATTATCTTGTGTAATTGTGTATTTTGTCTTAGGTCATATAATGACTATGAATATTAAATTTGAGAAATTTGGTGATGTGGTCTTCATTAACTGTTTTATGCTTGGTAACAGCTCCTAGAACAGTACCTGGCCTGTGTAGAAATTTTATTTACTGAATGACTACCTTTAGTAGATACTAATTTTAATTGAAATAAGAAGCACATTAAATTTATTGTATATTTTTTCTTTTTACTTTAATAAGTAGAAAGATTTTGAATTAGAGCAGAAAATGTTATTTCAGTTGTTAATTTGAAATGTGGTAGAAATTCTAATGCACATAAATTACATTTTGAAGTCAAATATGTTTGTATCTTGCATTACTTGTTTTATTTTAGCTGACTGCTATGTCTCCTAGGCTTTAACATCCAAAGAAAACTCATATCCAAAGGAAGCTGACACAATGATTATTAAGTCAACTGAAGGGGAGAAAAAACATATTGAAGATCAACAGAAAAAGCAGCAGGCCATTTCAGAGAAAGATCTGGTAATCCAAACAGATTCCAACATATAATATATATGTTTTGCTGAGGGTTTACTCTTAGTTTCTTTTCTTTGTTTTTTTTTGAGACAGAGTCTTGCTCTGTCATCCCAGGTAGAGTGCACTGGGGTCATAGTAGCCTTCTGCAACCTCAAACTCCTGGGCTCAAGCGATCCTACTGCCTCAGCCTCCCAAGTAGCTGAGACTACAGGTGCTCACCATGACACCCAACTAATATTTCTATTTTTAGTGGAGATAGGGTCTTGCTTTTGCTCAGGCTGGTCTCGAACTCCTGAGCTCAAGCAATCCTCCTGCCTTGGCCTCCCAGAGTTTCTTATATGTCAGTTAAGTTCTGTCTTCTCTAATATTATATTAAAATTGTTCTTGAGTAGGGACTGGAAATTAAATACACTAAAACTTCTGTAACCTACCAGTTAAAATTTGAGTAATTAATAACTTAACACATAAATTTTTTAAAAACATAATTATGGAAACATTTAAGTTTAGGGAACAGATAGCTATTGAGTATTTTAACATATATTTACATATACATAATTATAAATTAAACATAGAAGTAAATTACAATCCATTCCTACAGTGTACTTTTTTTCTTTAATTCGCACTTTCTGATCAGAATTCTTTTACAAATCATGAATTGAGATTTAATTTAATGTATTTATAGCCTTTCCTGGACCCACAAAGAATTCCTAAGAAATATGTATGAAATGATTATTGATTGTGATATCTGACTTTGGTTAAAAATATATGTTACAGTGAAATCAGGTATACAAATTCCAGTACAGTTTAATTTATCTTATATTTAGATATGTTATTGTTACTACAGAATGGGCTGTACAATTCTGACACTATGGTCTTTTATAAAAATTGAGTTATGAAATTCTTTTGTATAACTTCTAATATGGTTAAAGATGTATGATATTTGGACCTTTATTAAAGTGTGTTTTTAAATTTAAGCTTTGCATAAGATTTAATTATCAGAATAATGATGAATGCTGCAAAGTAATGTTGTATGCATTTTTTTCTTTTTAGTAGTGAAAAGAGAATAATGTCATTAAAAAAACTTCGACTAATAGGCTCTAAAACATGTCTCATGGACTAGATTTTTAACAACAAAAATATACTTTACTGAAATAATGTTGATGAATATCTTTATAGTTTTTCATAAGATTTGAATTCAGTTTTTTTGCATAATTTTTTAATGCTTCTCCATACTTCACCTCCAAAATAATAGGGAAATGCATTTTTCAAAGAGGGGAAATATGAAAGAGCAATTGAATGCTATACTCGAGGGATAGCAGCAGATGGCACAAATGCTCTTCTTCCAGCTAACAGAGCTATGGCCTATCTGAAGATTGAGAAGTAAGTATTAGTTACATTTTGATGCTTCTGAGGTTGAAAATTTACCATAAATTGGCATATTCACTAGCCAATAAATTAAAATTTATATATTCTAGAGCATTTAAAGTTAAATGAGAGAGAGGGAGGGAAAGAAAGAGTGTGACTGTGGTATGTACATGTACCTGTGGCATAGTACCAGGCACATAGTACATATTCAGTAAATGTTCTTGTTGTGTTTTCCCACTTTTAATAGTCTGGCACTATGCAATTTAACACTTTTTCTTTAGTTGCTTTATGTATATTCTGGATAACTGATTTAAAAATTATTTTTAATCTCAGAACCCTTTGAGCAAAGTCTTTTTTTTTTTTTTTTTGAGACAGAGTCTCACTTTGTTGCCCAGGCTAGAGTTAGTGCCGTGGCGTCAGCCTAGCTCACAGCAACCTCAAACTCCTGGGCTCAAGCAGTCCTGCTGCCTCAGCCTCCCGAGTAGCTGAGACTACAGGCATGTGCCACCATGCTCGGCTGATTTTTTCTATATATATTAGTTGGTCAATTAATTTGTTTCTATTTATAGTAGAGACGGGGTCTCGTTCTTGCTCAGGCTGGTTTCGAACTCCTGACCTCGAGCAATCCACCTGCCTCGGCCTCCCAGAGTGCTAGGATTACAGGCGTGAGCCACCGCGCCCGGCCTTGAGCAAAGTCTTATCTAAAGTGTTTTATATACATATATATAAAACAAAAGGAAATTGGTGTTACTGAAACTGCTGGTTAATGACATATATAGCTAAGACTTGGTCCTATGATATTAACCAGCTAGTTTTGGATGTGCTTATTTGGGACAATCAGTAGGATAATATCTGATGGCAGAAGCTATGACTTACATTTTTGTGTATCTTATAATAACACTTCATACACTAGTGTCAGAATAAAAAAAAAGTCTATAAGTGTTATAAATAGGAAGCTAAAGCTTTTTCAGTGCCATGAACTGCTTTAGCTGCATGATAAGCCCTTCTCAGGATATTTTTAAATGTATGACTGTATTATTAGGATTACAAAGGAAATCAAGTCTATCAAAACATAGTTTTGAAAATATTAAAATTTGTGATAAAGTAATATATGTGCCTTTTTATTAATATACTACAAAATGAGAAACTATGTTTAAAATACAAGTTAAAGTTAAAAATTTTTTTAAGGACATGAATGTGAAGATTTGGGATGATCTTTGACACATCTTCCACATATTGTGGATAGGGAATACCTGAAAACAACATACATGATTAGGTTACAAGTGTGATCACACATGACTTAACTTTTTGGCATCTGAATGTAACTACTAGGGGCAGAGTTGCCCAGTAGTTGGCCAGCTTTGTCACAGGAATGTCTATAAACTGGATATTGCCATCATATGCAGATAAGCAGCAGGTTAAATTTATACTATAATTCTGAAATAGTGGTGAGCATAAACAATATTTTGAGATATTAGTAACAATTATAATGTGTAGTTAGTCTTAGGTGCCTGTGTATTGGGGTAGCAGTGGCAGGTAAGAAGAATTCACCTAGTTAGGCCAATCAAGATATCTAGAGACAATGGTTCTGGAGGTAATAGGCTGCATTAGTAGTTAGCCTCAGGGAGATCAGCAAGACATCCTTGGGTTACAGTAATTTATGCTAATGGAGAGTCTGTGAGCTGGCAAGTTGTGGAATGTAGCTGGGTAGATGGTTAGCTTCAGAAGATCTGTAGAGGTAGGATGATAATCACAAATGAGGACACAAGTTTTTAACAGAACTCTATTCTTTGAAGAAGATTAATCAAGAACAAATTTGATACCAAGAAGCCACTAAGCCATGGGAAAAAAAAAAGAATAAATTTGGGGGGGTCTCATTCTTAAGAGGGAACAAAGTATAGATTTAGAGATAGGATAAGAAAAAAGGGCCCAATAATATTAGATAGTAGATTTGGGAAACAGGGTTGAGGGTTGGTCACAAAAATGAGGTAGAAATTTGGTTCTTGGAACTGGAACCAGACTAGACTTGATTTAGTAGAGGGTTCACTTAGTGTTGATTAGGTATGGGATGGATACTAGAGCTGTAGTAGAACTGGGGAAAGTGGACCTTAACTAAAAATCAGAAGAGAGTCAGGGGCTAAGGAGTTCGGCAGGGAGGATACTGTTTTCTGCTTTAACTATTTTTTATTATATTTATATTTTTGATTAGCTTGTGTTTTTCTCCCACTACCTAAAAGGTGTTTGTTGATGGGATTTTTCTAAGTCCAGTTTACACATGGAGCGCATAAGGGACATTTAACAATTTTAAAGGATTTACATGAGTCCATTGTCAAAGAATAATTACTTGCCTGTGTTGAAACTTCAGATTTTAGAATAATTGTTGGGTTTACTTTAGCTGTATAATAGAACATACTTTTTGAATATGCAATTAAAATGGCTTCCTAAATGTTTATTTTCTAAATTTTCATTGAATTAGGGTGTTTGGAAATTTTCTTATTTACTTATTCAGCAAACATTTATGGAGCCAAAATGTGTCAGGTGTTCTGGTAGGCACGCTGGAAGGTGTTAAGTGTACACATATTAAATATACAGTTGTTTTTAAGAAACTTGAAGGTGGGTGGCAGAGATGGAAAAGGAGACCAATAATTATTTTTAAGTACACTATGATCATGCTAGGAGGGACATATGTTATGGGAGTATGGGGCAGGGGGAACACTGACACAGACTGAGTCCAGGGAGCGGAATTCATGGGAAGCATCTTGAAATAGTTCAAACCAGACTGAGATCTAAAGGAGTAATAGGAATTAGTGAGATGAAAAACAGGTTGAGTGTCCTAGTGTGGATTCAAACACGTGGGAGCGGGAAAGTTCATGGCACTTGCTGAAAAGGGCAAGTGGTGTATATTATAGTTGTGATGCAGGACACAGTGGCAGAGATAAGGCCAGAGAGTCAGGCAAGCCCCTGACTTTGTCGCCTCAAAGGAATTTGACTTTATCCTGTAAAATGTAGGCACCATGCAGAAAGTTATCTTGAATGGGAGGATAATATAATTAGATAAGTAGAAAATACATTGGGAGGGGCATGGACACACAGATGTATTCTCTCTTGCTGAAAAGTGAACTAAAGGAATCAGGGATGTTTAAGTTCATTAGAAATTCTGATTTTGTTCATGTGAGGTCTTGTTTTGAGTGTAAGATGGTATTCGTGTAGGCTTTGGGGAGAATGTAATCACAGGACATTCTTTTTTTAAAAAATATTCTCATGAAACTTTTCAAATTTTCATGAAAGTAGTGTAATAAGCCCATGTATCTATCATCTAGTTTTAATAAACCATACCTTTTTTATAATATTTGTTTCAGCATTTTGCTCCTTAATTATAAAGCAAATCATAGACATTGTGACACTTTACCCCTAAAGCAAAGGATGTTTCATACATAACCACAGTACCATTATCACTCCTAATAAATTAACAATAATTCATTAATGTCATGCTCATATATAGGAAGGTCTCAAGTTTTTTTGTTGTGCTTTTTTTTTAAAGCTCTTCTTAGCTTTTTTTTTTTTTTTTAAATCATAGAGTAGTATCTAGTCTTTCTGAATTGATTGCTAGTTGCATGGCTGAGTAGAATTTATGCAAAGTATCAGATGCTATGCTGTCAGATATATAGTAACTCCCAAATTTTGTATGGATTATTTTTCTATAGCTATGCGATGTCTACTGTGGGTAAATGTTAATGAAGTTTTATTGGAAAACTAATGCCAGTTAAAATGGTAATGCAGGACCTGTGCTTATAGGGTTGTAGAGGAGTTAGGCTGTCAGTAGTGGTATTCTTTTGCCTGCTCTACTAGTACTTTTCCATCATTAATTCCATTCTTCCATCAGACTCTCATCTGACTTTCCTTTAATCTAATACTTCCTTACCAAATGATTATAATCCAAGATTTAGCGTGAATAAAAAATTTAAAAGATAGACCTTCTCCTCAAACACAGATTTGGGAGTTGGTATATTGAAATTATATGCAAGCTTTTAAAATTAGAAACATAGTTTATATGAAGTTTTTCTATAAGCTGCATTTTTTCCAGTCAGTAATTTTGTCATGTTCAATAGATATGAAGAAGCTGAAAAAGACTGCACACAAGCTATTTTATTAGATGGCTCATATTCTAAAGCTTTTGCCAGAAGAGGAACTGCAAGAACATTTTTGGGAAAGTTAAATGAGGCCAAACAAGGTAAGACTTTGTAACAGCTGGCACTCATTCATCCTGATAAAACTCCCAAGTTTTAGAAGTAGAGATTTACATAGCATTCCCGTGGTTTAAGGATACCAAACTTAAAGAAGTATGTTTTCTTTCTGTAGTTTAGCATGAGTAGGTTTTGGAGGAATGCAGCTTCCATAGTGCACCTGGTTATTTTTTGCTTTCACAGCATACAGTATACTCTGGCTAATTGCCAATCAAAATTAATAAAATATTCGAATTACAGATGAAAAGGAAAAAGGCAAGTGTGGAAAGAAAAGGAAGGGAATCAGCGGGTAGGAGATAGAGGATAATGTGAGATCCGTAGTGATGTCCCTTTTTATTCTTAATACTAGTTATTTTTTTCAAGATCTTATCTTTTTTTTTGTTTTTTTGAGACAGAGTCTCACTTTGTTGCCCAGACTAGAGTGAGTGCCGTGGCGTCAGCCTAGTTCACAGCAACCTCAAACTCCTTGGCTCAAGTGATCCTGCTGCCTCAGCCTCCTGAGTAGCTGGGACTACAGGCATGCGCCACCATGCCCGGCTAATTTTTCTATATATATTAGTTGGCCAATTAATTTCTTTCTATTTATAGTAGAGACGGGGTCTCGCTCTTGCCCAGGCTGGTTTTGAACTCCTGACCTCGAGCACTCCGCCTGCCTGGGCCTCCTAGAGTGCTAGGATTACAGGCATGAGCCACCTCGCCCGGCCAAGATCTTATCTTTTAGATATTCATTTTATTAGTCTTTTCAAAGACTAATAAGACTTTTCAAAGTCTTTTGTGTGCGTTTTCTATTTAATTTTTTCTCAGCTTTATTCTTTCAACTTTCTTTGGATTTAATTTGCTGTTTTTATAACTTTTTGAGAACAGTCTTAGACAGTTGATTTTCAGCCTTTCTTTTCTGATATGTACACTTAAAATCTGGCAGTTTCTCTATAAGCCTGACTTTAGCTGCAACCCCTGAGTTTTTTTTTTAATTTTGGAAAATAATACATAACATTAAATGTACTATTTTAAATTTAGCATTTTTAAGTATATATTTCAGTGGCATTAAGTACGTTTGCATTGTTGGGCAGGTCACCACTGTCCACCTCCAGATCATCCCATTCTAAAACTGTACACATTGAACAGTAACTTTTCATTCTCTCCCCCAGCTCTTGGTAACCACCATTCTACTTTCTGTCTTTATGAGTTTGACCATTATAGATACTCCATATAAGTGGAATCCTACAGTATTTGTCTTTTCACATCTGGCATATTTAACTTAGCATAATGTCTTCAGGGTTCATCCATGTTATAGCATGTATCAGAATTTCACCCCTCTTTAAGGCTGAATATTTCATTGTTTGGAATTCTCTTAGATTCTCTTGGATTCTATCTATATTTAGTGAGTTACTGTGTCATTTGTTAACAGTGTGAGTTTTGGTCAGTTAGATGACCTCTAGGCCTCAGTTTTATCATCTGTAAAGTGGGGTTGTAGTGACAATTATGTGAAAATTCATATAAAACAACTAGAATAGCACTCAGTAAATGTTCTTATTATTTGCTCACCTGTTTCCTTATATCCTGAGTAAAAATTCTTGAGAAAAAAAGGGATTACTAACTAAATATATCTTATTTTGAACTCTGTATTTTCACTACTTTGTACTTTTTTAAAAAATTCACTTTAGATTTTGAAACTGTTTTACTTCTGGAACCTGGAAATAAGCAAGCAGTAACTGAACTTTCCAAAATTAAAAAGGTAATGTATTCTTTTCACCAAAATATGCTCATATTTTCTGAAACAAATACATTTATTTGTTGCATAATTGATTTGAATATTTTGATGGTTATAATTACAAATTTATTTTCAAGGAATTAATTGAGAAAGGAAACTGGGATGATGTCTTTCTTGATTCCACACAAAGACAAAACGTGATAAAACCTATTGATAATCCACCTCATCTTGGATCAGCTGTAAGCAAAGCACTTTTATTTTTTTCCTTGCTACTTAAATATATTAATAAAATTGGAAACAGATTGTTGTATTAATAAACTCTTAAAAGAAGTGCTGAAAGCTCTTCATAGGGGCATTTTTTAGAATCTTTAAAAAATACTTCCTAGGATTATAGACATAATAAAATTAGGGAAATTTCAGCTGTTTAGAGTTCTGGGGTAACTTTTTAAATGATTTTTAACACTATAAAACTTTTATATGACTTTTAACACTATAAATGTATCAATGTAAATTATATTAAAGGAATGTCATGCAGTTTTCCATTTTATAGTAATTTAATGTTTTTGTATTTTTACTATTCTTGTCTGAGTTTGGGTTTTTATTATAATATCATTGCATCTTATTAAGAGTTAGATCTAAAATCAGCACTTCAGACAAAAAAGTCTAGAATAGGCAAAATTAAAACATTCTTAAAAATATTCATTGCACATTGTTTTGGGTATACAGTACTGTTTCTTTTTTAAGTCCAACAGTGCCAGTTTTTTCCCTGCAATATTGCAACAGAAAGAGTAGCTGGCATGAATTATTAATAGTAGTTTGTTTTATGTCGAACCTCTGAAGTTGAATTCATTTAAGGCAAATGTATATATGTTGTGACTCTATGTATATATATAATTTATAATATTTACATGGTACTTTTAATATGTATATAAATTATGAAATATAAAGTAACATACAGAAAAGTATACAAGAGTAATTAAGATTTAAAGAATAATTATAAAGTCAACATTCATTCAACCACCAAGTAACCATTGTGCACAAATGATCCTTTGATAGAAATAACAATTTTATAAGGAAGTTAGAGCAGATATCTCTATCCTCTTTTTATAAAGGGAGAAAATGAGACAAAGAAAGTTTGTTTTGTTACATTTGTATTTCAGGTTAGTAGCAGATAGAAAATTCCTTAGCTTAATACTTTTCCAGTATACTTATCATGACTATGTTCTTTGATTTTCTGGAGTAATACTGGTTTTATGTGTTTTGTGTGCCTAGCGTAAATCTAGATGTTTTCATACATTATATTCATTTTCATGTGATATTTATTGACTATTATTCTATTTTCAATAAAGGTTGAATGTTCAGTACAAGATTGAATGTTTAATTAAGTGGTGAAAACTTTTATCTTCATAAAACTACTTTACAAAAATTAATTCACAAGTTAAAGCCTTTGTTAGGCCTTGCTGTCCATAATTATAAAGAAAACATCACCATGTAGCAAGTCAAATATCTGTATATGTGATATCCCATCAACAATATACCCTAGCAGTGGCTTTTACAAATTTTGGGGGGTTCTCTTCTTTACTTTAAAAATCAATGTAGGCTGGGCACAGTGGCTCACACCTGTAATCCTAGCACTCTGGGAGGCCGAGCCTGGAGGATTGCTCGAGGTCAGGAGTTCAAAACCAGCCTAAGCAAGAGTGAGACCCCATCTCTACTATAAATAGAAAGAAATTAATTGGCCAACTAATATATATAGAAATTAGCCGGGCATGGTGGCGCATGTCTGTAGTCCCAGTTACTTGGGAGGCTGAGGCAGTAGGATTGCTTGAGCCTAGGAGTTTGAGGTTGCTGTGAGCTAGGCTGACACCACGGTACTCACTCTAGTCTGGGCAACAAAGTGAGACTCTGTCTCAAAAATAAATAAATAAATAAAAATCAATTTATGTTAATAGTTGTGAAAATGCAGTGTGAATTTGAATCTCTTATGGCAGTATCTCAAAATAAAACATCTCTATGAAATGAGAGATCTGGGGTAAACCTTTTGTAAGTGATCCAACACAAAACAAAATTAGTATTCTAGTGGGAAGAGAAAAAAATTGCTGTTTATTTTTATAATAAGTGTCTATGATAGAAGTGTGGGCATTATTTTTAAAAAGTAGAATGTTGCAGTTTGGTATAATGCCTTTGAGACTTAAAAAGTTTGAAATCTTGAGCAAGTTACCTAATCCCTGTGTTATCTTTATGTTTTCTCCTTACATTGAAAATAATTCACATTAGTTTGTATCAAAGGAAATAATGTACATAAATGCTAGGGCGATTTCATGTAAAACAAATGTTGATTTTCTTTTGTCACGTTTGTGAGACTACCTGGTCACTGGGGAAAGTGGTCAGGAAAGAAAGGAAGGCCACAGAAAGTGGAGTGAGAGACTGCTAGGGTTGTTCAAGAGAGAGGTTAGGCCAGGGTAGTCTGTGTTTGAAGGCCTGGCAGCCTGGAAGTATTTTTAGCAAACCTTCTCTAAAGAGTACGGGAGAGGAGAGATGTAGGTTGATTAGGCCTGGGTTTTCCCTTAGGGTTGTAGTAAATGAAAGTTTTTCCTGATCCTTTAGTCTCTACTAAAATATTTTATTTTGCTTTATTTACTTTTTTTCATTTTTCTGTTCTCCGTGTCAAAGCTTGGTCCATTGTTGCTATACATTCTAAGAGGTTAAGGGGACCAAAAAAAAACAACAACAAAAAACCCCCCCAAAAACCACAACTTGGTCCCTCTTCCTCTTTCCTTCTTTCTGTTTGTTCTTATTCTCTCTTTTTCTTGAAATCCCCACAACAGAGAGCCAAATAAAATGTTATGCTTCTGATTCATAATTTTAAAAAAGGAATGAATTGAACCTTTCATGTTTCTTAAGTCCTTTCTTTCTGTAGTGGTGTATTTTATAGTTTATCCCTGTTACCAGCATGCTGCTCTCCTTCCCCAGTCCCTCTCAGCCATCATCAGTGGCCTTCAGTGGCACCCAGTACCCATTAGTAAATACATTCACACATCTTTTGTCAATGAAAGGATTTGGTTTTAAATGGGACCACATTGATTTAATTCATATTATTGCTTATGTCAGATACTATTGTGTATTTTTTAACACTAACACATGTCCATGCTTGATTGATATCTTGGTAGAAAACTGTTGCTGATATAGTTCTTAGCAAAGCAAAGTCCTTAACAGGATTGTTCTTTAAAATAGAACTGCTTACAAGATTCTGCTAAAAATTTGCTTATAGCTTTTTCATTTTTGTACATTCATCTGGTAACACTCAGTTTACCATTAGGTCTTATCTTAGCTGTGTTAATAGAATGTCTAGTTTTACCATTGAGTTTAATATCTGTGTCAAAAGTTTTTGTATTTACACTTTTTGATTTATAATTCAGCTATATAGTTGGAATGCACGCTTTTAAAGTATATTGGGGAAGTTTTTCTCTTTTTTTAAAATCAAATTTCAAACATATACAAAAATATTTAGTTGTAACTGTTAACAGTATTTGCAGATTTTAGAAGGAGCTTTTCTTACCTGTTTCATTTCAGTACCTCTGATGAAACAGTAGCTCCTTAGTGTACTTCTGTGTGTTTGGTAATATGATATAGTAAAGAGTATTGTTATTTTATAAAATATAACAGAGTATTGTATTGTATGTATACTTAAGAAATTGAAAACAGCACTATAGTAATTGAAATAAATAGTGAATGCCTTTTATTTTATTAAATTGGAAAACCAAGCCAGGCATGATAGCTCACACCTATAATCCCAGCAGTCTGAGAGGCTGAGGTAGGAGGATTGCTTGAGGCCAGGAGTTCAAGACTAACCTGGGTAACATACCAAAGCCCTGTCTATAAAAAATTAGCTAGGCATGGTGGTACACACCTGTAGTCCCAGCTACTCAGGAGGTGGAGGCAGTAGGATCACTTGAGACCAGGATTCAGCGAGCTATGTAGTGTAGCACGGCACTCCAGCCTGGACAACAGAGGAAGATGCTGTCTCTAAAAATAATTAAATAAATAAATAGGAAAATTAGTATGGCTAACTTTTACTAACTTTGTGAATATTATTTGACAAATCTTTAATCCTCTGCTGGTTTTATCCAGCTGCTACGTATTTAGAGAATATACTTAGGTCTTAATGTTAGTCTGTTTCATGAACAGTGCTGGTTATTGTCCGCCCTTGTTCTTGTTTTCAGTTAGCCCATAATACTGCTGCTGGCTTGGTTATATTTCTTTGCTTTATTGCCTCTAGGATAAAGTCCAGACTCCTTGACATGGCACACAAGTCCCTTTGTAAAAAGCTGTCTTCAGGCAGCCTTTCAGGCTTTGTCTCTACCACTCCACCCCTTATGGACTTCTCACCTTTCCTCTGACCATGCTGCATCATTCCACTTTGCCATTCCTATGTACTTTTTCTGTGAAGGCTTCCCTAATGCTAATGTTCATCTTCCTTCCTTTGTTCTCTTAGGATTTTGTGCTTTCATCTTTTATACATACACATTGCCTTGTATTTATTTATATGTACAATCTCTCTCCCCAATTTAGACCTTCCTATGATAGGTGTACTATACATAGCTTTTATAGTCTGTCTAGCCACCAAATTGAATTTACTTATAACTGGGATATTAGCTGGGAGAACACTGCAGCCTTTTAACTTTTGACCCTAAAATAAGAAACCTTTAATATGTTGAATTAAAGAATTGATTTTAATTGTTTTAGAAACCACTCAAGAAGGTTATTATTGAAGAAACTGGTAATTTGATACAGACTATTGATGTGCCAGATAGCACCACTGCTGCTGCTCCAGAGAGTAATCCTATTAATTTAGCAAATGTAATAGCGGCCACAGGCACTGCAAGTAAGAAGAATTCGAGCCAAGATGACCTTTTGCCAACAAGTGATAGTCCAAGAGCGAAAGTATTGAAAATAGAAGAAATCAGTGATACTTCAACCCTGCAGTGAGTAGAAATACTGTTATTTGATAATTATCTAGAATGGTGGTAATTCCACTAGGAAATTGTTATTATTGAAACTTCTGATTTGTGTTAATTACCCTAATTTTTTCAACTGTTTAACTTCAGGTTCTAGTTTTTCTTTTTTATTTATACTTAAAGAGAGATTTTGCTTAAGGAATGATCACTATTTTTTTTTCCATAGTGGGGAAATTAGAGATGATAGAAAAGTATCTTGAACAAATTGATTTTGTTCATTTTCTTTTCTAGAACTTAAGTATATATGTTTTACTATTAAAAATTTTTAATTTTTTAAAAGGAAGCTTCATAAAAATGTAGAATGTTGTCATTACTATTATTTCATCCATTAATATTTAAGACTATTGTGGGATCTTTAAGTTTTGTTGGAATTTAAAGAAATAGTTTACATATCCTTAATGAGGAGAATATAGAAGATGGAAACTAATTATAATTAGATTTATTTTGGAGTGAAACTTTATTCATGTATTTCTACACTGCCACTCAACAAACCTATTAAAGTTATTTTTAAACTTTGAACTTTAGTAGTAGTTTTATTTAAAGTGATAGTATAGATTGTGGAAAAATACTGTTAGGTCCTTAAATATGAAATGTCTGATTTCAAATCAGAAGTGTAGTTTATTATATCTCAAACAAGAAGCAGTACAATTAATCAAAATATGCACCTAAACTATCAACAGAGTGTTGCTATCTTAACGGTAGCTTGTTTATGCCAGCCAGGAAGAAACCAGGAGAGTGGTGATGAAACCGTGAGTAGTGTTTTCCACAGCTTGTTGAGAATTGAATATTTTTCCTTGCAAGAAGGGTCCAAAACCTAGAAGAAGTGGTAGTCAGTCGGTGTAAGGTCTGGTGAATATGGTGGATAACTGAGAGTTTCCCAGTCCAAGACCCTGCTGTAGTTTGAGCAGCATTGTGTGACATGTGGTCAGCATTGTCTTGCAAGAGGATTGGCCTGTCTCTTGACCAATCTTGGCTGCTTAATCACAAGCCTCTTCATTATTTCATCCAGTTGGTTGCAGTGGGCATCACTGCAATTGATTGACTAGGTTTCCTGAAGCTTTAATGGATCATACCAGTGCTGGACCACCAGACAGACACCATTAACTTTTTTTGATGAGTATTTGGTTTTGGACTGTGTTTCAGCACTTCATCTTTATCCAACCATTGTGCTGAATGCTTGCAATTGTCAGAACCCATTTTTCATCAAATGTTACCAATACAGTGTAGAAATGGTTCACTTTTGTGTCATGACAGCAAAGAACGACAAGCTTCAAGACGATTTATCTTCTGACACTCGTTTAATTCATGCAAACCTATTTATCCAGCTTCTTTACCTTGTACATTTGTTTCAAATGGTCCAACATTGTTGGAATAGTAATGTCAAACCTTGCTGCTAATTCACAAATTCACGTCAGTTGAGATTAATTCGCTTCCTTTACAGCTTTCAGCTTATCATTATCCACCTTGGTCTCTTTGTCACCCATGTGGCTGATTTTCAAGATTAAAATTACCAGAATGGAAATTCTTAAACCATTGATCTAATGTATGTTCATTAGCCACATCTTCCCAAACACTTTGTTGATATTTTGAGCTGTCTGTGCTGCGTTGGTTCCACGACAGAACTCATATTCAAAAATAACATGAATTTTTGACTTATCCATGGTTTCACAAAAATTGCTCTAAAAACAACTTTGAAAGATAATCACAAGCCAAATGTGCATTTGAAAGACGTACCTTCATAGTAAAAATAAAACAAGAAGTGTCAGAAGTGAAATGTCAGAGATATCAACTGTGAGAGTACTTAAGGAAATTGGACGTTTCATACTTAATAACCTAATGAGGCAGCTTTTTTCTTTGAAAAAGAAGCATTTCTTCTTTTTTGGAATTGTCTTGAAACTGATAATTCAGATTTTGGAAAGGCTTAGTTTTAAGTATATGAGACACAGTAATTGAAATATATAGAAATTATGTGCTCAAAAGGTGGCCAACCTAGTTGTCCAACAGATGAGAATAGTCATTAAAGAGCCAGCATGTGAAAATTTGCAAGGGCGTAATCTGTTTTGCCAAAAAAAAAATAAAAAAAAATATATATATATGTATATATATATATACAAGTAATTAATACTTGTAGAATATAAATGCATAATATTAAAGTCAGAAATTTGAAAATCTTTATTGATGTTTCCTTTATTGAGTTGTGACATTTGTGATTCTTTTTTAACTGTTTGATGCCTCTGAAATATTTCAGACCTCAAGCCAATTTGAAACAGGATGTATGTCAGTCTTTCAGTGAGATTTCTGTAGAGAGAGAACAAACACCTGCTCAGTTTGTCACTATTGTTCTTCCTCAAGTTCCTGCAAACTCATTCCAGCTTGAATCTGATTTCAGACAACTGAAAAGTTCTCCACATATGTTGTATAAGTACTTAAAGGTAAGAGAGAGGAGGCTAGTGGTTCTGTTATAAGCAAAAGGTCAAAGAACTTTTTTGTCCCTATATGATAATGATGCTGTATTTGCTGTTTTGTATCATATGATTATAGAAAATGCTTTTATCCGTTGCCTGATACATATATCACCCTGGCTAGACCATTTTTAAATATTTGCAACGAGGGAACCTTGATGTTCAGATTTGGAAATAGGTTCTGTATGTCTAACATAACTTAATCTAGTTTCATATATCATAGCTTAAACTTAATCCTTCATCCTTCAAGATGGGGAAAGGAAACTAAAATATATTTTGAGTGCCTTTTATGTGCCAAGCAGTGCTTGCAGTATTTAGATTGTCATTCTCTTGAAAATGAGTTTTTATTTGCTCCAAGATAAAGGATCAAATCATATGAAATTTAGCAAATAACAGATTAGCATAGTCTTTTTCAAGTGTAAAATTCACTATACAATCACTTTGAAATACATTATATTATGTAATTATATATATATATACATACAAATATATATTATGTAATTCTACCTTTTAAAAATCTCTAGTTATATTTTTTGCTCTTTGAGAGCCCTCTCAAGTTTCCTGTCTCTATTAGGTGGTATATATTTCTTGTGCTCATAAAATTTTTCTCTCACTAGAATAGTGATTTTCTTGCAGTTCCTCTGTCATTCTTCTATTGTAATTGCATTTTAATGTGGCTCCATTATTACTCACGAAGTACTAATGCATAGTAGTTATTCTTTACTATTTTTACCTGAGCAATTATTATATAAATACTTTGTGATGTGTGGATGTTGCCATAATTTAATTTTCTAACTCTTTATATTTTTCTCCAAGCAAATTGAACCATCCTTGTATCCTAAGTTGTTTCAGAAAAATCTGGATCCAGATGTATTCAACCAAATTATTAAAATTCTACATGACTTTTATATTGAGTAAGTTGAATTTTTAAAATTATATAGTAAATCCTCCCTTAATGTTGTGAATGGGTTCTTGGAAACTGCAACTCTAAGTGAAATGACATACTTTATGCTGTAGGAGCTTAACTCTTGTTTATATCAGTTGGCCTATGGTAAAATTGGTTTCCGTATACAGTATGCCATTTCACTTAAGGTCAGTTTCTAAGAACCTACTGATGTTGTTAAGAACTTACTATACTCTCATACTGTAATGCTGTTCTGTTTCTAATGATTTGGGAAATTCATTCTCTTTGATATTAATGCCTTATATATAGCAAAATTTTCTTTCTGGTAAATTTTATTGTTATAGAAGTTATAAAGAGATGACAAGTACAGGTAGTAAAAAAGGAAAAGTTTAAAAGGGAGGAAAAAAAGACTTCTTAGTTTAGCTAGAGAAAAGTAGGGTGCAGAAGTGACTGGAGTTATAACAGTAATAGCTTCTGTGTTATGCTCTCATTTAAGAGTATTATAATTTCTTCAGTTGACTTCATCTGGGCACTTAAAATATAGACAGTATCTAGGGAAAAAAGAAAAATGACATGATTTGTGTATAATTAGAAATGTTGTGCATAATTAGTAAACAATTAAATGAGCTACTTTTAACTGATCATTTGTTTTTATATTTGGATCATTTCAGGAAAGAAAAACCATCACTCATCTTTGAAATCTTACAAAGACTTTCAGAACTAAAAAGGTTTGATATGGCTGTGATGTTTATGTCAGAAACGGAGAAAAAGAGTAAGTTCTAAGAAAGAAAGTTTTCCCTTATCTATTCTTGTATGTTCCTTTATTCATTCAACAAATGATAGCAGACATTTATTGACTACTATGTGCAGGCTATATATAATTAAATATGAATTATTAAGTACAATTAAAATTATATTTGCTAGTCCTGTGCCAATATTAGTAGGCATAAATATTATTTTCATTCTTTTACAAAGGAGGAAATTGAGACATAGAGAGGTTAAGGAATTTTGGTCAAGTTCCTTAACCTCCTTAGTCAGGTCATATAGCTAGGAAGCCAGACCTAGGATTTGAACCCTGCCAGTCCAGTCCATAGTTTGGGCTCTTCTACTTGAAAATGCAATAAATGACATAATGGTTAAGTTCTTGCTGTCATTGAGTTTATAAAGGGTCCCAGCTATAGGAGCATGTAACTGGGCAGGGTATAGGGAAGGATCCAGGGGTGGGGAACTTGTGGCCATAGGCCACATATGGCTTTCTGGATTGTTAAGTGCAGCCTTTTGACTAAATCTAAACTTTACATAATACCACAACCCTGGATCCATTCTGAAAGAACAAATCTCCTTGAGTTTCATTTCAGCTGAATTCTCAAAGAAGTATAGGAGTTAATTAGATGAAGGGATGGGGAAGAGAGTTTTAGACTCAGGGAATGAGGTTTGCAGAGGTTTTGAGGCAGGAAAGAACAAATTGAGTTCAGAGAATTAAAAACAGTGTGGCTGGGTTATAGAATTGAGGGATTAGATCACTGTGCTCCGTCACACTGGCTTTATATTTTTTTAATATACTAAACTGCCAAACTTACTTTGGCCTTGAGAACTTTGGCTGTTCCTTAAGCCTAGACTATTTCTCACATGTCTTCACCTTGTGTGCTTCCTCACTATCCAATTTTCACATGTCACCAGCTCAGAGACACCTTTCCTCACGAACTTGAGTTAAAATAACTGCCTGCCTCTTACCACCCCCATCACCTTCTGTCTTCTTATTCTGCTTTGTTTTTCCTCATAGTATGTAACTAGCTGACAGTGTTTCATGTATATGTTTATCATTTTTCTCTTTCTAATAGAATGAAAGCTCATTGAGAGCAGGAACTTTATCTATCTTCTTCACTGAACTTTAGTGCTAAGCACATAACTTCTTAGTTTAAATGTGTTCAGTGAATGAACTTTTTGTCACTTTTTTAAGTGATAAGTTCAAAATGTACTCTGAGAATATGAGTGGGCTCTTCAGGCTGGCAGACCAACAGTACTGTCTTGGTTGGGTCTCCTCTGTCTGCTAAGTTAAATATGGGAAGCACTTAGAATGGTTCTGGCATGTAACTAAGCATTCAGTAAATACTAGCTGTTGTTATCTTTTATTATTGCCATTATCATTAATAACTGCTAGCTAGCTCTCCAGTTTTAATGTTAAGAAGCATGAACTATAATAATGTTTTCCAAAGTGTTGACTGTGGACCAATCAGTGGTAAGAAAGATGATTTTACATGATTCCTAGACAAATCCTTTTTTTAACCTTTAATAGTTATGTGTTTTATTTTATTATGTAATATAAAAATATATAACTAGTTTATCAAATGTTATTTCATTGATGATATTGCTTATTTTCAATTTACAGTAGTGATATGAAATTTTCTTTTAAAATAAAATGATTTAGGTTTGAAAAACAGTTAATTGAAATAAAGATATTAAGTAAATAAAAGTATACTTGCTACATAGATCAGGCAAAAACTTTAAGGTAGTACAAAATGAGTTGAATTTAATCTGTAAGAATAATGTCATTGAGGATATAGGGGAAATTTTATACTGCAAAAGCCAAATATTCTGCTAACAAACGTTGGAATGCTGTATAATTTTGTATTCCTGGGTTGGCTTTTTAAATATCTGAATTAGAATTTATAAATAATTCTAATTATTGCTTTAAAATTTAAAACGTTGTTTGACAGATTTGATTATTCCCTTTAATTTACATTTTGCTTGGTTTTAAAAAATGAGATTAAGATGGAGAAATTTTTTTTCTTTTTCAGTTGCACATGTATTATTCAATCACATAGACAAATCAGGATTGGAAGATAATTCTCTTGAAGAACTCAAGAAAAGATATGGCGGTTGATTTCCATTTTTATTGAAATAACTGTTTTTGACTTTCATATGTAAATTTTTCTTACTGAAAATAAAGTGTTTTTCTTTTTAAAATAATGAAATCATACAGGAAAGGACTATCTTTGGACATAAGTTAATTTTAACTATAAAGTGAATTGTGATTTGACTAGTGAGAAATGTATTCAAGTGAATTATTTATGTCTTTTTTGAAAAATAAAAGTATAAACAATGAGGTATATTTGTAAGGATCAGTATTTTGTCAGTATTTATTTATAGATGGTTCTTCAGTGCCCCCATCAATGTAACATTATTTTTATTTAATATATTTTCATGAGTTTTTGTGACCACATGACCAAGGCTGCATCATTAGTATATGAATAAAGTCATTTTTGTATAGAGGAAGTTAAGTAGATAACAAGATTGGTTCTTTAGAAAACTTTTTATTATCATTGTGCCACTTTACTAACATAAAATTTAGTTGCAGGATATGTATTTTTAATATTTATGTTGAAAGGAGACTTTTAACTATATTTTAAAATTTATTATTTATTTGTTTGTTTATTTTGAGGCAGGATCTTGCTCTGTTGCCCGGCCTAGAGTGCAGAGGTGTCATCATAGCCACTGCAGCCTCACACTCCTGGGCTCAGCAGTCCTCCTTCTTTCTCTGCCTCCCAAGTAGCTGGGACTACAGGCACGTGCCATCATACCTGGTTAATTTTTTTATGTTTTGTAGAGTCTCACTGTTGACAAGGCTGGTCTTGAACCCCTGGCCTCAAGTGATCCTCCCACCTCAGCTTCCCAAAGTGCTAGAAATTACAGGTGTGAGCCACTGTGTTTGACAGTAGACTTTTTAAATTGAAGAGTCACAGTATCTTTAAATTTTAATGCCATAGAGTTTTTTTTCCTCATGATATCCGTGCTAAAGACAGATAACCTAAGCAAGGTGTAAAAATTTTAAAACTAGGAATGTTTAAAGTGGTAGTTAGCATATAGCTTGTGTGTTGCTTGTAAACTTTTGAAAATAGGGTTAGTACTTGACTCATCCCTGTACTCTGCACAGTACCTAGCAAAGTCTTTGCACATAGTTAAAATGTATAAAATTTAATTTGACACAGGAATCATATTAAATAAATGTTCAGTATAGCAGCCTGGCAAATTTTGGACATACTAGAAATGTTGGTAAAACCAACTTGATTTTAGAGACTATCAAGTTGTTAAAAAAAATACTAGGTCACCATCCTATAGTTGTTACCAGCATCAGTAAGACTGTCAAATTTAAAACTCTGTATTATTCTGTTGATAATTTTTATTGCCATTATACCTATTACTATTGCTTATGGATTGCTTGAGAAATAATCATAATCTATTTACAAAGATAATTTCTCCAGTTTGTAGCATAAATTTTTGAAATGATCATAACTTGTATAGTCTGAATGTTTATAATACACTTAGGATAGAGTTTATTAAATTTATTCATTGCTACATGTATTACGGTATGCAAATAGGCAGTGAAATTTAGCTTTATATATATATATATAAATTATGATTGACCTTTCTCAAGTCATTGATAAGCTCATTTTGATATATACAAAAGCATTCCAAAGGCAAACAATTTCTTTTACATATTTTATGATGTGATCTGCTATGATGGAATGTTTATGTACCCCATAAGTTCATATGTTGAAATCATAACCCCTAAGGTGATGGTTTTAAGAGGTGGGGCCTTTGGGAAGTGATGAGGTCCTAAGGGCAGAGCCCCATGAACAGTGTTAGTGCTCTTGTAAAAGAGGCCCTAGAGAGCTCATTCACCCCTTCCAGCATCTAAGGGCACAGCAAGAAGGTACCATCTGTGAACCAAAAAGCCGAGGCCTCACCAGACACCGAATCTTCTGGTCCCTTGATCTTGGAATTTCCAGCTTCCAGAACTGTGAGAAAGAAATATACATATATTCCTGTTTTTTTGTTTTTTTTTAAAGCTACCCAATTTTTGATATATTTTTTTTATAGCAGCCCAAATGTACTAAGACATAATCCTTAGAACAAACTTACAAGGTTGGGGCAGGTAGTGTTATTGCCATTTTGCACATAAGAAAGGGAGGCTTAAAGGGTGAATGTTCTTTGCATGATTATAGAGCTAAATATTGGCAAAGCAGATCAGAACACACTGCCTTCTAACTCTTAAGCTAAAGCTATTTGAACTACTCCAGCTGCAGTATTTATGTTCAGTTACCTGTGTAGAGACTGTGAACTGAAGAAGTTCAGATCACAAGATTTATTTCAGAATTGGAATTTTTAACAAATTTCTAATGTTAGCCTGATTTTCCCACGAGACTATGTCACGTAGTGATTAAGACCAAAGGCTTTGGAATCAGACTTGCATTGGCTTCAAGAAGCCAGACTTTGGCTCCATCTGACTTTATGGACCAGTTACTTTTCTATGCTTTGGTTTCCTAATCTGTACATCTACCTCATTGGGGATTGTGAAGATTAAAGAAACGTACACCTTTTGTGTTTTGAACAGGGCCAGATGGATAGTAAGCTACTGTTATTATTATCATTAATTATTGCAGTTATTTTGTACAAGTGATCAGAATAAAGTGTAGTCTTTAGGGACTGTCATATTGTTGCCTTATTGCAAAATAGCATAGTGGTTAATAGAGTTATTTTGGAGTTAAATGATCCAAATACTACCTATTATACTTAACTAGCTTATGAATTTGGACACATTACTTAACCTCTTTAAACTTTAGTTTCCTTTTACATAAAATTAGAATATTAATAAGTGCCTAACTCAAAGATTTTTAGAAAGATTTAATTTGCTAATACTTGTCAGCATTTAATACAGTGCCTATCACATAGTGCTCAGTTATCTTTATTAATAATAGTAATATTATTAATTGACTTAAAGGCACAATAGCAGTATTTTCCCAAGTGGTTTCTTTCTAGAAATCTAGTTATCTACTGTTAATTTTATATTTTGACTTAACAGCAACATTTAAACCATAATTATTTCTGTGTCATTAACAGAAACACCATGCTTGTCATTTATTGGCTTCTTCTCAGTCTTTCGTTTTATTTTCATTAAGATCAGTAAATTGGTGGGGTATTCCCAAGTCCTCACTATTTCAACAGTTTGTGCTAATGCACTTGAGAAGATTTCATTTCCAACCTATAAATCTGTGACCTTTGTTAACAGACAGCATTTCTGAACACAGTACCAAGGCTCATTTTGCCTTTTTATAATTCCTTCTTAATATTTGATCTTTATCAGAGTTCTGTTTAAATTAACATTAAAAATTTAATGTTTATGAAACTTCATCATTTATCAATTTAACAAGCATTTATTGAGTGTACATATAATGCCAGGCACTGCTAGGCACTAGTAGTAGCCCCTGATGAGTCTCTGGCTGCATTCCTGCACAATCAATCACCTGTGTCTCTGCCAGTCCTTCAGCATTGCTCTCATCGTGTCACCCATGCACACAGCCTGCAGGACATCTCACTCCTCCTGGGACAGTGATGGTCATCTTCTGAGTTAAATATTGGGACAACTGGTTTGACCAAGGTCTTTCTGATTTGTAGATTTAATTTTTAATTAAGCGATGTGTATTATGTAGCAGGTGTTTTGCTAGGTATTACAGGTAAAAAAATTAAAGCCACAACCCCTGCCCTCAATTATCCCAGTCTGTTGGAGGAATTGGACAAGAAACATCAAATGATAAAGGATGGCAAATGTAACAATAGAAGCCTAAGAGGCAGGACTCAGATCACCTGGTAGGATCAAGGAGATTTGATTCTGGTGATCTGGAGAATAGACAGGGAAAATGGCAGGAGAGAGGTGGGGTCTGAGCAGGCCTGGAAGGATGGGTAGGGTCTGTTAGGTGGAGGAGGGCAACCGCTCCTCTAGCAAAGGATCCATCCTAACTCGCACAACGCACAAGTGGATAGTGAAGTGGAGGTGATATTGATACGCAAGACTTTCCGATATGGCACATCGAGCCCAGGCTTGTTCTCTCAGGAGAGACTCAGACAAGAACATAGAACTTGTATTGTTTCTCTAATAGAGACTATATTTAATATTATATGCACTTAGCTTAAACTCATGATATTTGAATACAAACTGAAGTCAGGGGAGAAAAGGGACAGACCTTCGAGATATTGACGATGATATAAGGCTAATAACTTATGTCTCAATGATAAACTTTGGTTTATATCTTCAGGGACAGTAAATGACGGAAATGTGCTGAGTTCTAAAGGTCTATTTTTACTACTACTTACAGCGTGCTTTACATGACATTTCAATCACCGAAACAGTGAAAACATTGGGACCTTGAGCTATGGCTGGGAGATATCTCACTTGTGGTAGCAATAATCAGGAGATAAGAGCAGATGATAAAGTTGGGTATAGGCCATAAAAAAACTGAAAAGCATATAAAAATAATCAGTGATAAATGTTCTTGCCGGCGCGCGTGGCTCACCCAGGGGGGGGGGGGGGGTTCTGTAATCTACACTCGGGAAGGCGAGGCGGGCGATTGCTCGAGGTCAGAGTTTATACCGCCTGAGCAGACGAACACGTCTCTACTATAAATAGAAAGAAATAATGCCAACTAATATATAATGATAGAAATAAGTCGCGCATAAGTGCACATGCTGTAGTCCAGCTACCGAGAGGCAGCATGCAGATTGCTGAGACACAGAGTTTAGGTTGCTGGAGCTAAGCTGACGCCACCATGGCACTCACTCTAGCCTGACACAAGGAGACTCTGTCTCAAAAAAAATGTTCTCAACTTGCTGTAAGTGACTGAAATAACAAAACTCTCTGACCCTCGGCCAGTCCTTTCAGTAATATCCTCTTACTGCAATTTCTTCACCACAGATGGACAGCAGATTGCATGGGCAAGCACAGAGTGCACTGAGTTCACTGAGTACAAGGAAGAATTAGCTGGAGGTATTGTTCTGTGTATATATCCACGAACACGCAGCAAAAGGATTCTAAATTAATTTGATCTTAAAAAGACTTTAAAAACATTTGAGCCAGATAGTGAAATATACTAGGAATAGAGACTTAATCAATTCAAAACCATATAGAGCACTAGAACAGAATCAATACAATCAGTAACATGTAGCAATCATTCTGACCTTTGTCAAAGAATTCGGCAATCACGTAAAAGAAGATTTTTATCAGAACAAATATTGGATACTGTACAGGTTTTCTTGACAGCTTTCACCACAAGTG